ATATATATATATATATATATATATATATATATATATATATATGGCAAGATGATAAATCATCTGAAGTTGTTCCATTTTGTTTTAGTTGGCCATTCATGTGGCCATAACAAGAGAATCATTTCACCACACTAAGCAAAGTCAAACTTGAATTTGACAGAAATTTTATTTTTATTTATTTTTTTCTTATATTATTATTATTATTATTATTATTGTTATTATTATCATTACAAATTTCTTTCAAATATTAAGTTTATCCAGAAAATATCCAAGATGATCACTTTTTGTAATGGTCAATATTACTTTGTTGAGTTCAAGAAGTCCATAAAATGTAAATAGATGTCAGCAATATTTTTAGCATTATATTGAATCATGAAAGAATATTAATCTCTAACTAAATTTTGTGTGTGTGTGCGCGCGCGCGTGCGTGCGTTCGTGTGTGCGCGTGTGTGTGTGTGTGTGAATTTTAGATTTTGAAGAGAAATATTACTTCATATTTGTAGATATATATGTATAATTAGTTAATGGGACCTATAATTATATCTACAAATATGAAGTTGGGTGATTGTCTTGGAAAATATTCTCTTTTTCGATTTTCTTCGGATAATACTCCCCTTTCATAATTCCCATATAGTCATCCCATATTTTAAAATTTTCAAAAATACTCCCCAAAAATTCTCATGTTTTCTTTCAATCCAAATTTTTAAAAAAAGTCATCAACTGTTGACCACACTGTATAGTGTTTTAAAAATCCTATAAAGTATTTTTATTTCGAAAATATTATATAATATTTTTGTTTCAAAAATACTATGACATCAATATTTAGTTCAAAAATACTATACAGTGTTTTTGAATAAAAACACTATAAGACAAGTTCAAAAACAATGTATAGTGTTACAGTGCTTTTAAAACAAAAACACTATATAGTGTTTTTAAAATATTATACAGTGTTTTGTGAACGGACAAAACACTGTAAATAGTTGACAAAAAAAATTTTGATTTAAATGAAAATATGGTAACTTTTGGAAGGGATGTTTTTGAAATATTAAAAATAAGATGTGACTATTTGAAAATTATAAAAAGAAAGATACTATCCAAAAAAAATAAAAAATATTTTTTTTTCGGATAATCGCCCAATCAAGTTTTGCATGAAACTTCTCTCTCAACATATGTTTGTAATGCCATGACTTGAATGGGTACACATATCATATATATAATTATATATATAAGCTATTAAATGATAATAATAATAATAATAATAATAATAATAATAATAATAATATATTTGTTATACTTTTGTCTGGCATTGAGCTTTTAAGACCCAATAATCGCTCTTCTGAATCCGCATGGGTGTACGGTATATGTATATATATATCTATATATATATAATATATAATATAATATATGACTGTCTCCTCCAATCCTTTTGTGCTGCACCATGCCACCCTACAGCCTGCAACCCTAAAACCCTACACAGTAAGACTGTAACCCTAACCCTAACACCTAATCCCTCTCACTAGCTGTTCTCTCTCTGGATTCCTTTCTCTTTTAACTCTCTTTACTTTATTAGTCTCAACCACCTTTGCCTGTGGTCTGAATACTTTATGCGAGGGAGGGATTACTTGCACCACCACCACCACCATAACACTTCACTCAGCTCCCTCTATAAATCCAGTTGTTGGGTCTTGTGAGTGTGACACATTCCCACCGACTTTGTTTTCTTCCTTATTCTATTCCATGCATGCTCTCTTCTCCGTTCTGGTAGTGGGTTTTGCATGCTGCTTTCACATTTGATGTTCTTTTTCCTTGTTGTTCTTTTGTTTGGCTTCTCCTGCCAAACTACATCTGATCTGATGTTGTTGTGGGTTTGATGGTTGCACCGTTCTCCTTTTCTTTTGGTTTTTTGGGTTTGAAGTCCCATTATCACCTTTTTTGCTTTTTTGTTCTTTCCTCCTTTCTCTTCTTGATCTTTTGTGGGCTACAAGCTTCATCAGAGTGGTTGTTCTTGTAGTTTCCTCTGGTATGTCATTTCCAGGATTTTAGCTTCTTCCCTGTTGAAAAGACGGTTGTTGTAAAACCATCTTTTGCATGAATGAGCTTAGAGAACTTTTGATCTTTGTTTTTCAAGGGTTTGACCTAATCAGAGATGCCCATGGTAGCTCTCGATCATTTAGTCTTTGACTGCTCTCCATTATCTTTCTTAGACTGTTAACCTAGTTATCATCCATGTGCCCTTGATCCCTCAAATACTCTCTCTCTCTCTCTCTCTCTCTCTCTCTCTCTCATGCTCCTATACATTCACACTTGTCTCTTATGAAAGAGTTGAAAGAAGGTTACATGAAAATGCCTAGAGGAATGAGTGAAGCTGCCAGCATGATCTAGCTCTGGGTGACCAAACACTCATAAACACTTGTGTTTATGAAGGTCAATCATTGTTAGGTCATGCTGTGCCAGCCTCACTTCTTCCCATCGTTGGGCATTACAATCTCCTACCTGAAATGAAGAACAAGAGGCAGAGACTAACTTAAATATGCTTTCCTTCATCTGATGCTTTACTCAGTCCTTTTTTGTGTTCTTCCTTAGGATGGCATTTAATGCTCCAGTTCCTGAAGGTGCCTGAATCTGCAAAGGAAAGCCACTTCACCTGCTGTTTCATTGATACCATCAGAAGAATGTTTTCTCTCTCATAGAGAAAACATGGGGTTTTGTTTTTGGTTAGTGTATGGAACTCTATATCGATCGATTTACTTTGTTTCTTCGGGAGACTTCTCTGAGATTCTTCTGCAGTGACATGCTTGAGTAATCAAGATGTTATCATGTCTGTGAATCAACTTGTGTGATGAAGATTCTTCTGCAGAGGCTTACTTGTGTGATCAGATGATACTATTAGCACATTCTACCATGCAAGCCAGCTTTAAGGAAGAACAGAATTCTTGACACATGAGAGAACATTACAACTTGCTTCTTGGTAATCTGCACCATTTCCAAACCAAAGAGTCTTTCAAGAACCATCTGGTCTTATCAGAAAACAAGAAAGAGCAGGAAATCTTTTATTTGTCTGAAAATAATTAGCACATACAGTTTCCTCAGTGTACTGCTCTTTCTAGTGTTTGCTTGTAATGACCATCACATAATGGTTTTTCCCAACAAGTGTACATTGTGGTGGCATATGCAAGTGTCAGTGTATTTTACAGATCAAATTCTATATACCAGTCTATAAATTCATGTGTACCAAGATATTAGATCATCTTGCCAGGTTTGTAAGCTCAGTTCAAACACATCCATTTCCAAATAAATTCTTTTTACAGTATTTTTTGCTAAGCATTGCATATTCCACTTAATGAAGATAGGTTTTTTTCAAATACCAATTTCAGACTATGAGAACTTATTAGAGAAACTCCTGAATGTAGATATGATATTGCTTCTGATCCTCCATAGAAAGATTTGTTTTTTTTTGTATTGTAATCAGATGGAACAAAATGACTAGTTGGTGACTGTCCTTAATTTTGTTGAGTGATTCTTATTCCTTTTATATACATATAGTTTACCACTTGATTCACCAGCTACATTATGTATAATCAGAACTGATGCTTTCATTTTAATCCTGGTCAAAAGTAGAATCCACTTGCTGTTTCTTTTGACTTGTGCTCAATACACACTACCTAACTTTACATAGGTTTTTAATTCATGAAAGCAATTAAAATTCTATAAGTTTATACACAATAATAAATGTGCAGTTGTTTGGTAATTCAATGACTTTCTAGATTATTATTATTATTATTATTATTATATATATATATATATAGCAATCTTTTAACAAGGAAGATTGTTGCTGTAATTAAATAGCAAGATCTGCATGGGGTTGTTCTGAGATAAACGCAAGCTTTAACATGAAAATATGAAGAAAAAAGGGGGGAAATTGATCAACTGTGTCTGGCCAAAAAGAAAAGAGAAAATATCTTTTTATCAGTTGTTATTTAGCTTAAGTTTGATAAGATATCATCACTGAAAAAGCTATGGATCACTGATAAATTGACAGAGAGATCATACAGTTTCTCCTCAGAGTTTATCACATCTTCTACCCAGCAATCCAAACAGAAGTCATTGAGTAAATCTTGGAAGATCTTATAAATAACCAGAGAAGCAATTCTAACATTTATGGCCTATTTTTTGCACAAGTCCCTCTTCCATTAATATTAGATAATTTCAAATTTTAGCTTGTTTAGAAACAAATACTACTTCCAATTCTCAGATGTATAATTAAGGAATCATAGATGAGTCCCTCAACTTGTGTGTTTGTGTGTGTATGAGAGAGAGAGAGAGAGAGATTTGATGCTTGATCAGCTGGCAGTAATTTTGGTTACAGATTACATGAAGGAAAGCAAAGATGAAAAGAAGGAGATTTGCTTATTCTGAAGAGAGAAGAACACCAAAGAGAAAGGAATGCACAAGGATTTAGTTGAAAGAAGAATTAGAAGAACAGGAACCAAAATATAGTCACTGTTTGAACTGATGGTAACAAAACAAATCTCCTTCCATCATCTCTTCTTTTGCCTAAACACATTTTAATTCCCTTCAATCTTTTATTTAGATTAGGAAACCTTGATCCAAGAGCAGACTTTTATCAGGCATATCACTTTCTTAGTAGCTAGAATTGGCTAGCTGCTGTTGCATGCTGATTTCACCATGCTGCCATATAGGAACAGCTGCTTTATGTACCTCTTCTAGGCAACTGACATAAAGGCAGAAATGCATGCTCTTCACATATATATATATAGATATAGTTTATCAACATTTAAGTATGCAAAGTTTGAAAAAAGCAATGGCAACATGAAAGCAATCAATCTAGTTATCTTGTTTGAAATAATAATGTCAACCATATAGCAGCTATCATAATTATTTCAGGAGGATTCTTGGTCTACAATCATGATTGAGAGACATTAAGAATGATACATGGCATGAAAAGAAATTAGTGAAAGGTGAATTAGTGGATGATGTTCCACTAAATATGTACTGTTTCCACGACTCGAACCTTAACATTCAAGTTGCAAAAGAAAACAATTTTTCTGTGTCATCAAGGTTTGTCCTCATGATAATTATAATATGCTCACTCATTAGAGAGGCATGAACTTATTCCTCCCCCCTCACACATACAAACACAAACACATATGTACAAAGAGAAGAGAGATCACATGTACTTGTTGATATGCTTTCCTCATCCTTAACCTAGTGAAGTGTGAACCTTGTGCAAGAAGAACATGCGTGTGCAGGCAATTTGGTCCCCTTCAACCATCATAGTTTTCTTTATGCTTAAACCTCTCTCTCTCTCTCTCTCTCTCTCACACACACACACACACACATTTCTGTTGTCTAAAGTAGGGCATTTCATTGAATGGGACATGCAGATAGATGAAAGGTTCTCACCACTAGTCATTAGTGTAGCTCATAGTAAAGTTGGAAGCCTTAGCTGGCTTGTGCATGTATGACAACATTCAATGTTGTCTTTTGATTCTGGACCACCCTTTTAGGTTATTCTTAGTCTTCTTTTAGCCTTAGAAATCAAACCAGAAATCAAATAACAAGTTATCCCTCCCTTTCTCCATCTATATATTTCCTATCCCTACCTCCTTCCTCCTCCACAGTCACCACTGCCTCCTTAGAGGACAGCATCTCTCTCTCTCTCTCTCTCTCTCTCTGGATGTATGTGGGGAAGTTGCCAAGTGATCAACAGTGAGGGTGCACCATAAGAAGCTGAAGCTGCCAGCATGATCTGATGACTCTATCTTCTGAATCTTGGATGAGGATATGCAGATCATGTTGCAGCTCCATCTACTGGTGGGAGCACCAGAAGAAAACAGAAAAGTCTATCCTAATTCCTTTCTCTCTTTAACCTAACAACCATGGTTTCATGAGAAACCTAACATGAACAAAAGGGCTGCTGATTTTGACCTAACTTAGCAGGTTGGATTCATTGATATGGCAATTTTTATTCTTTTCTGAGATTGTTGATACCTTGTGATATGTGGAGTGGATGGTTTTACTCAGTTTCTTGTTGGTTTTAGGATCTTGGCTTTGGAAGCAAACCTAGACATCCTTCTCTCTGAGCTGCTTCTTTTATATTCCATGCTCTAATGATTTGTTCTGTCTTCCATAATCATACTATGTTTTTTTGACATGGATCTGTTAAATCTCTTTTCATCTTTTCTCCTGTTTCATGCATACATTTAAGTGCTTATGACTTCATGACTGCTATATTTTTTAGCTCAACTTTAAGTTTCCAAAGATTTCATCCATTCAGATAACCGACTGTTTGCCTGACCTTGCTTACCAAGATTGGGAATCAGAAAGCTGTATGAAATATAGGCTTAACTGTGAACCTGAATGCAGATTTGACTTTGTCAAGTGCTTGTTTGAACCTAGCACTTAAGAACTCAAGCTTTGGAGTAGATTTCAACATTTTTCCTTTTCTTTCGAAGCTTTGCATGGTCAGTAGATTAGGTAAGCAGGAAGAAGACACAGATTGTACCATCTTCCCCGGTTGCTTTTGGCTTCTCTCTCTCTCTCTCTCTCTCTCTCTCTTTTGTGTTTGTTTTTAAAAAGGTACATATAAATGGCTTTCTTCTTTGAGTACTAATGCAATGAACCCTTCACTTCAAGGATTCTCATTGGTGTTCATTTGTTGATTCTTTAACAACCCTCCTTCCCTTTGAACTCTTTTTCTCTTGCTTGTTGCAGTGTTTTGACTTGTTATCCTTTCCTTGGAAGTTGCATGTGAGCCAAGGAGTCCAGCCAGTGGTGTTTGTGGTGTCCACACAGCTATTAAAGTCCAATTCTGGTGGAGGACACATAGTGAGCTGTTCTGATTCATGCAGTGTTTGTCTCATGCAGCTTGGGTCTTGTTTCCATGTAGTCCAGAGCCTGTGAGTGAAACCTTGCTTAAGCTTAGCACCAAAATGGAGTGGCCAAATCCACAGACTGCAAAAGTCTCTTCCCATGGAAAAGGGATGATGAAAAGGAGACATGACTGCAAAGGGTAAAAGGAGTTGATACAACTGAGGAAAGTGACCACTTTTGGAGTATAAATCCTATTGAAAGGTGAAAGGGATATCTCTTTTCTTTGCTGATGTTTCAGACAGTGGTACTTTGGTTTCTCAAACTTTGTGGAACCATTGATGGAATCCAGAACATATTTATAAGCTAGCCTCTAATTAACCTGCTAACCTGTGTTTGCATTTAAGATGTTTCTGTAAGACATACAGATCATATTCAGTTTGAAGTATAGAAATTCATTGACAAAAGTTGTGTAAATTTTGTCAAATTCATGTCATACATTTGATAGCTGAAGCAAAAAAATGACAGATTGGCAAATGGTTTTCAACATATCTTCATTCTGATTCGATCATATCATTTATTTATTCTAAATGATTGATCCAGACATCTATATTTTTAAGGAACAACAAAAATTTTTAATGACTAGTAACAGTATCTTACTAAAACCATACATATTGAAGGATAATGAGCATGAATGGAATTAGGCAACACCATTCACTTTAGATTACTGACATTTGGATTGGCTTATATCCAGCAATGCTGCTAATGATAATAATTGTAGTGTAGGTATAAGCAAATAGTCAGTTAGGTCATGCAATTTGCTTATTTTTAATTGAAAACAGGAATCTGTTTAAGGATGACTTACAATGGAATTAATATTTGCTCTCTAAAACAAGTTGAGGCTTACTGTGTATACATTTTAGCCAGACTACTCCAAGCTACTTTGGTACTTAACTAGCAAATATACTAGCATAAAAGAGAGTATGCTAGTAAACTTGGCGAGGCAAAAGTACATATTTAGAGGAAGTGATCATCTCCAAGTTGATGGAGATGAAATGGATGATACTGTGAGAGGTCTTTTAGGCAAGGACCAGTTCTTCATGGATGATAGTTCTAGGTTGGTTGGTTGATGGCAACCTTACAGCTAAAAGGTATTATGGAGGTGATCCACAGGGACACAAAATTGTACCTTTTAGATCTGGATTTGGTTTCATAGTACCAAGTTGTTCTACCAGCATCATCCAAAAGAATTCAGAACCTTACTGTTCTTCTCATTTCAAGAAGAATAGAATGAGCTTAAAGGAAATCAGATATTCATTTATATAGTTCTTTAGGTCAACTACAAATACAAAAAGAAAAGATTAATTTGATGGTCTTTCTTGCTGCTTAGATGTCCCCTCAAAATTTGGCTGCACTAAACATTACTGTACTATATATCAGGAACTTGTTTCTGCATTCACTGCTGCAGTTGGAAATTTAATTTTCACTTCAAGATTAAAAAAAATTAGCTAAAGAATAGGAAAAAAACAATTAGTCACTTAATCTTATGAAAAATCTCATTTAACCTAGCGGAAAGTTATGTGATATGGATGATCTGGAAGCCATTTTTCAAACTAAACTAAATAAATCTCAGATTTTTATCAAATATAGAAGAAAATAATTCACATGAATCAATCTCCTAGCAAGTTTGATTAAGGGTCTAATCCAAGTATTTGGCTTGACTTGCTAAGCCCCATCATAAACATAGTATTAACTCAAAACCAACTAAGCTCATCCCGACTGAAAATGGTGAGATTAGAGTAAATCCTAACAAAATTAGCAACACTAGAGATTTGCTCCTAATGCAAAGTGAATCATGAGAAACACATATGCAGCTAATGCAAAACCTACAGATTATATAAATATAAGTGCAACCTACCTATTCCAAAATTAAATGTAAATCACTGAGGAAAACAAACCTTAATTTTAACCTACTTAAGACACCTAACTCAGCTAGTTGGTATTTAAATCTTGAATAGGGATGCTTGTGGTTCGATGGTCGACAATAACAACAATAAGTTGTGATGTTACATTTATTTGTCATCAGCTATATAAATCTTTTACCATCACTGAACTTTATAGAATATTATATGGATTATGCTGTTGAACAATCCTATTCATCATCATTTTGATTTGAGTATGATCATTTGAAAGTGATCTTCCGCAAGTTCAGATTTTTGCTATTGCACCTATACTGCTCTGCTGGTGCTTGACTGGCACGGTGGCATGGCATGGCAAGTCAATGTATGATTTCAAAGTTTCATGTGAAAAATCAGTTTGGCTCTTAACTCACAAAGAATGTCTCAAGAGACAAAGAAAAAGAAACAAAGTATGGTAGTATTACTCCTAATATTACCCCCTTTCAATCATGAAAACAATCTTTTTAACCATAGAGGTAACATTACTTAGATTTTTCTGCAACCAGGGTTATTAAGCTGTACTTTCAAATCTAAGATCATTCTGATCTCTTTCTATTTTTGTAATGAAATCATTTTCGATTTCATTCTGTCTATCCTAGTATCATTAATTAATCATCTTGTCTAATCATAATAGAAGGTCTTCTTTGAGCATAAATATACTACCTTTGATGATTTTTTTTCATTTTATCCTCTATCAAAGCTACACCAATGAAGCACAAAGATTTTCCTAACAAAGTTTTAGTGTTCCCCAAAGAAACTGCATACTTCATTTCTGATTCATACAAACTGTCCAAAGACCTAAAATGAAAATTAAAAAAAAACATGGAATATATTCTGACATAGATGGTGATGTCTCGTGCAGGGGTGAGGCATCACTTTTATATAGGTTGTCCTTTGGGGACAATTTGATCCTTAATCCACATGTAGACGTAATATGTTGCTGCGATCGTACCCAAAATGAAGCGTATAAGGAAGGAAAATGGATTCACAGGCTTCTTTACATCTTCAGCTTTGGGACCAAGCTGCAGAATGAGCCAACAATTACATAACCAGACAACTGTTACATCTATATAAAGCATTACAAGGTGCATGAAAACAAACTTATGTAAACTTTTTTGACCAACTGGAAGACACTATGTCAATGTTCTCACTTCTTTATGAGAAATTGAGGAGCTCTACAATATCAAAAAAGGCTGATGGTTCATTTTCCCTCTTTTATGGGATGAGTTATCTAATGGATAACAAAAAATGACTAGTAAAAGTTTAATGTCTAGAAAAAACATAAAATAGCTAGAAAAAACCAAACAATGATAACCATCTTTTCCAAAGCAAAAAATGCTCAACCACATAAAACTAGGGTGTTAAATCCTCACTGGTCATTCTCTCCTCACAGAGCATTACTTGAAACAACTCATATTTCCCTAGGTCACAAATATCTTTTGCAACTATCTCAATCACATCTCAAGTAAATTACTTGCAATTCATCATAAATGTTGTCCCCGTCACAAAATCAACTATCTATATCATTGCTTAAACTTGCTAGAATTCATTGCTGTCCAGTGTTCTATTCGAATGAAACAACCAGTCTTACACCATAAGTTGTGCTAGTTGGCATGTGTTTATAATGGTCAAAATATATTGTGCCAAAAAATTATTAGCATGCATCAGGGAAATCCATGTCAAAGGTGCTGACATATAGCTAGACCAATTTGTTAGCCTGTACTGAATAGCATAAGGCATGCCGACCAGCGAAAAAATAATTGTGCTATGACACAAATGGCGTAAGCAATTCCCCATGTGATGAAATGACAAATCCTTGCTTATACCTGTCATACAATTTCCTTTTGATGTGAAAAATGTTCTAAGGCTACATGGTGCAATAGATGCAACTGTCTATTTAATCGTCCTACTTCATTGTAATTAATATTCTATTCAATCTACACATCTTTTCGTACACCCAGTGTAAAGCATAAAAAAAGTTTACTTGCTTCTTGATATTTCCAAGCGTTCATTTTCATAACACATTGCCCTTGTTTTTGGCACTTTACTAATGGAGTTGCTGTGATTTTTGTCTTGATCCTACTTATCTTAAAATCTTCGACTTCTAAAATTTGCCCATAGAGTTCATATTTAGATATTACCACCACCAACTAGCTCCAATCGATGCCACAATCAAGACATAAACCAACAAGGAATATGCCTTCAAGTACCCTCATAACAAAGGGAATTAGGCAAGGAGCTACAATCTTCACCACCAAACATATTCTTGATTATGTCAGTCTATGTTGTACAAAATTCATAAATTCATTCTCTTCTATAACCCAACAATTTAGGTGTTTAGAAACATTGCCATAATCTAGTAAAAATCATTACTCCAATATTCTCTGTTACTAGTTGTATAAATAACTTTCTTGTCTGATCCACAAAACAGAGCTGGTTTTGAGAAATATTGATATCATATCTGATATACAAAAAGTTTGATTGGTTTGCTACCCAGATGCACATCCAAATATATGACTAAAACATATATATGCAACATAATTTGCAGTGGTGGACATGATAAAACAGGATTTACTAAAAAAATGGTTAGTGAAAGGATGCTTAAGATAATATACGATAAAGAAAGTTTTACCTGCAAAGGTGAATCACCAGATTCTCTTTTAGCACCAGTGACGGAGCATGATGAGGCCATGACGACGGACACCGCGGTACCATTTCGGTCCAATTCTTTTCAATTTGACATCTTTAAAACCAGCCTTCTTGAACCACTCAATATATTCCTCTTCTTTGGGGAACAACATCCACATGTCAGCAAAGATGCGTGACAACCAGAAGGTTGGGTATACAGGACCAATGACACAGGCTAACCCTCCAAGTTTCAACACTCTGTAAGCTTCCCTGATACCACGTTGAGGATCGGGCCAGTACTCGATACTGGATATCGATCAGAAAGCAAGCATTAACAGACAAAGAAAATGACATGCTATTTTAATGCTATTCAGTATGATCTCTCTGAAACTTAAAAGGAAGCAAGCTATTAGTAATTAAGTTAACTGAAGAATTTTAAACAAAAAGAAAAAGAAACTTGAAGGTCAACTGAGCAAATTCTAAAAGTGAGTGTGGGAGAAAACGTAATACTGAATTACAAAATTTGCTTAAGCATGAAATTTTCAATTTTTTTGTAAACAAGACCTTACCAAGATACCATCCTCTTGGAGCTCCATAAAAATTTCTCATATTGATTAAAGAAAATAGCATTATATTATCTTTCAAGATTTGGATTATGCTCACAAAAAATACAGTTGATATGAAATTTGCGAAAACAAATTTTTGGTTTCCTACTCGGCCAAGGAATTCACATATAAGCCACAAGTGGATCTTTTGTCTTTGAATTATCATAGTAGATCACGTCTACATGCATCTTATATACTTAGGTTAAGAAGCACAAAGATTAAAACAGAAAGCAGCATCTTCAACATTTACTACAACTGCAACATCAGAAGTACTAGTTTCATTCCAAACAAAAATTTTATCAAACACAATGTGAACAGGTCACAAAAATCTTACCTTCCTGCAGAAATATACCGATCAACAGAGTCCGTTGGGAAGGGAAGCTCCTCCGCATCCCCCTCGATGATTGTGCATTCTTTCAGTTCCTCCTTCTGCCTCGCCTTTGCGAGCTGGTGCGGTGACTGGTCAAGAATGGTGACGTTCTTGGGGTATACGTGTTTGACAATGCCCAATGTGGTGAATCCAGTCCCACCACCGACATCCACAACCTTCAATCCCGGATCATAGAGATCGGCAGGCTCAAGAGCCTCATCCCTCATGTCCTCAGTCCAATGCCCAGGGTTTATAACATGGTCATAGACGATGGAGAGGAATCTGTAGAACCAAAATGCCTCCTTTTTGTGCTGGATAAACCTGGGTTGAGAAGCAGGCCTGGAAGAGGGAAGGCTGCACCTTGGAGCCAAAGTTTTGGCCCTCATACTACCACCACCAAAAGAGATCAAGGCCATCTTAGTTAGGGAGGCATATCCCATTGAGAGAAGACCCCATGAAGCCCAACCCAGTTGGGTTTCTTACTTTAGATAAAGGGAGCAATTCGGCTCCCTTGAGCATATGGGAAGCCATCTATCGGTGAAAGAAGATACAGACTGCTGCTAAATTGGGAACCTAAAGAGAAGGAAGACCACTGGGAACTGGGTTTACCTGCTTGCCAAAGGATTCACACAGGGTACTGACAGAAGAGGAGCAGCTCTATCTCACACCACAGGTTTTGTGTTTGTGGCTGAGCTGTGTAATCCCTCCCCCAAAAAAACCCAGAATGCAGTTCCAACCATTTTAAAAAGGTAAAGTGTATTATACTTTAATTAACAGTACCACTCTCTGTCTCGTAAATTACTAATTATTACTCACATAAATGCCCTTACACAATATTGCATGTATATCCCCATTACATTAGCAATTTTTATTTTTGGATCTTAAATAATTCTATTTTTAATAATTGATAAAAAGGGTTAGAAACACTTTAGATACTTCAATTTTTGTTTTTTGAAAAATATGGATAGACATAATTAGGATTTCGCTCCAAGCACAAATGGGATCGAGTTGACAATTTTCTTCAAATTTGTAGACGATCGATCGGGTGGCTTGAACCGGACATCCGTACTGGAATGTTCGATTCGATCCAATCCTTTCATCTTCCAATCTTCCGCTCCAAGCACGAATAGAGATCAGTTGGTACCAACCTTTCTTCTAATCTGTGTGATTTAGAAGAGAAAGATTTCACTCGAAGCACAAAAAGAAACTGAGTTGATACCAGTACAAGAAAAAGTGACCACCCGTTCATCACAGAATTGTTGGGTCGGAATCTGTACATTAAAAGACAACAAAAAAATAAATAATGATAGAAATAGGTGCAGAATGAATGATAACTCACAATCCGTACGTTCAATATAAAGTTCATAAGTTGTAAAAACTAAGTCTTTTTTTGTTTTTTGCCAAGCAAGCAAAGTAGAATTAGTTCAATATGTATGATCCAACAAGCACGTCCACCAGCAGGCGTTCTTACACATAAGTCCTAACCAAGTTGATAAAAGAAAGAAAAACCATAATCTGATGCCGATAACTCGAAGCTCTCTACTGAGTCACGCCTAGCCACTTGGAGAAGTTCTCAAACTCTGCGTAATCACTATCTGAGACCATAGTCTTATACCATGCCCGACCAGCAGCCTTAATTGCAGTAGCTTCTTCCTGAAAATGGGTAAAGACACAGAGAAAGAAAAAGAAATAAACAATAACTCCACGTAGAATATATAATATAGCAGATCAAGTATTCTTGACCACTGGATTGCGAAACCACCGAGGCTCAAAATTAAATGGATTTCTGAGTCTCACAGTGCTTTTGCAGTAGCACTATACCAAGGGATTGACTGAACAAGTCTAAGACAACAATAGTTCAGCTGCATCTAGATTCGAGAATCAATGGAAAACACTAGACATGGTAAACATTCCAACCTTGCAAATCAAGAAATATAAACCAATATGTCAAGCTTCTTGGTCATGCATGTTAGTGTAGATGACATAATTCATATTAACTTATAATTTGAACTAAAATACTTTTGTAAAGAATTTAAACTGTGGTTGTAGTTGCCCTTGCTATATTAATTAAGAAAGAAGAACTAAAGGTTTTACAGAGAGAGAATTTTTCCAAACAAAACTGCTACATTTCAAGAGTGTCATATATTACGATGTGTTAATCTTGATCCAGGTATAGTCATTCAAAACTAGGCTGAAAGATCCAACTTAACTATAGGATTGGAAATTGGGGGGATGCAATAGGATCTATACCCAAATATAGAGATTCCGAACCTATTAGTAATTGAGAGATTCTATTGCAGGTTATTTTGCTAATTGTCTAAACTGTACCATCATGTGATTTTAAATCTAAATGGAAGCAAGAGTGCTTCTAGAAAGATCATGACTTTAGAAGAAAAAAATTTGAATAATCTGATTATAACACATCAGTCAACCTTATTCCATCTCTGACATCACCACCACTCCTAGCCTCGTACTCTTAATCTAACATTGCTCCAGTTACTGTATCAGCAACTCCTAGCCTCACAATCTTAGTTGCTCTCATACCTCATTCTCTCCCCACACCACTTTCCCTGGCATCCCAATTGCTCATAATGTTGTTTGCTGCCACCTCACCTCCAAATATTGCCAATTGGGAGCATCATCACCGTGCACTCATCATCGTTTCTTATGCATCAAAAGTCCTCTCAGGTTCTCCCCACCTTTCCATCTCATGCACAAGAACAGTAGTCTGTTGATCTCGAAATGATCTTTCTATAAACTATTGTATATTCAATTATTTTGATTAATTATCAACATTCTCGGTACCAAATAGTTTATAGATGTAATTATTCTTAAGTTGAAAGCAACCATTGCACTTTCAGTTTTTAACATGTACTACTGTAGATAATTTTGTATTTGTAAAAATTTAGGAATTCTACCATTCTCAAGTCATTCAATGTCTAAGTCCTGCAAAACACTATGGATTGTAGGAAGGATTTTAATTTTAACAATCTTAGTTACATAAAAATACCAAGAAAAGTAACTAATTAGCCTAAATATCTGCTAAGTTTGCTGAAAGTGTAACTTACACCACTAACCATAGCCTATTCTTAAACATCCCAGTGCATGCTGGACCTTTCAAGTGAACTCTTTGACTCAAAATCTAAAAGCTAAAGCATCCCTTGATGGAGTTAGGATAATTAATACAAAAACCTTGTTGTTTAAGCTTGATGCCATCATGCATAGTGCAGACACATCTTGCTTCAGTAAAGCCTAATAAAATTGCACATCCAATCTTGTTATGCAGTTTCATGAAATTTTACCTTGAACAAAGGCAATAAAAGCATTAAAGCAAAATCATAGTTTGGTATGACAAACAACAACTACTATTGAGCAAGGAACCATTCCAAAAAAAATCCACCATAGTAATTGAATACAATATAAGTTTTATATACAATGTTTCAAATTCTACAATAAATAAATTTCATCTTAAACATCAATATCAAATATAAGTTCATTACTTCTGGACCTAACCAAATGTGTCCTAGAAAATGGAGACATTCACATGTCCTCCATGTTTTTGTTAATTAAAACAAGCATATTTCAAGAACAGTGGAAATATTTGCAAGCACTAGAAATTGAAAAAGCTCATACTAAACAGAAAACAGGCACTGTATCTGAAATCTATTAACAAAATATCAACTGAAGCAGCTTAATACTGACAATATACCCAAATAAAATAGCAATGCGACGCCAACAAGATCAATTCCAATATGCAGGACAAACCAACAAACTAAATAATAACTAAGATAACAATACATGAATAGCAATACCTTCTTAAGCTCGGTCCTCTTCTTGTCAAGCTTCTCCTTCTTGGCCTTGACACGTTGTGCCTCAGCAAGCAGAGCCATCCTCCTGGCGGTCTTGGCATAGGGATTCAGCTTCAGCAGTGTGTAGAGATTCTTCAGAGGGTTCTTCTTTAATGTGTGCCTCTTCACCTCCTTCTTGATAGGCCGCACCACCGACTGCACCTCGTCGGAGTTGATGATCCTCGACAGATCAGCATTGACCATTTTTGGCCACGGCAGCACATAGCCCTTCTTCTTCTCAGATGGTTTATCAAAGCTTCCGAACACTGAGTCCAGCTTCTCGAAGGCTGATTTGGTCCAGATGATGAACCTGCCGATGTGGCCTCCCGGAGCCAGCTTCAGAAGGTTTAGGCGGTCAACGTTGGCAACGTCGACTCCAGGAATATTGCGGAAAGCTTTGACAATCTTAGAACCCTCGGTGCTATAGACGATCAGGGGCCCCTTGCGCGAGATGTAGCGGCGATTGCGCATTTTACCCTTACCCGGGCGGATGCCCTGGCTGTCCTTGGCCTTTTCAGCATCAGGGAAGGCGCCGACCTGCCTGAGGATCTTAATGGCGGCTGCAGTCTTCTCTACGCCCTCAACGGAGTCAGACACCACAAGAGGAAGCTCCGGGACAGACTCAATGCGGTGGCCGCGAGCGAGGACGAGAGAGGGGACGGCCGAGGCGGCGAGAGCGGAGGCGACGGCATAGCGGCGCAAGTTGATGTTGACGCGGCGATGCCAGCGGCGCCAGGTCTTGGTGGGGGCGAACATGCGGCCGCCACGGCACATGTTGCCGAAGGCACCCTGGCCGGCGCGGTGGGTACCACCGCCAGGGACGCGAGGGATACGAGAGACGGCGCGACCAGTGCCCCAGGACTCGGCAGAGGTCTGGTGGCCAGCGCGCTTGGAGACGGCGTAGGGCTGGCGGCTGTTCTTGGAGAGGTTGGCATGGACAAAGCGGACGACGTCCGGCCGGATCGGAGCCTTGAGAACGTCGGGGAGGGGAACGGAAGCAGGAGAGTCGGTGGTCATGTCGCCCTCGAGGGCCTGGACAGTGACGAGAGGGCGGACGGCGGCGGCGGCTGCCATTGAAACGAGGACGCTAGAGTGAAGCCCACCTTAGGGTTTCAGAGAGCGGTGGAAGAAAAAGACACGGCAAATGGTTAACGACCTTATATACGAGCGTCGCGTGGGTTAGGCTTTTGATCACGGACCGTCCATCGTATTTTGATCGGTCGCGCACTGTCCATTGTAACATGCACTCGTTATAGAAATGGTTCAGGCCCATGAACTGCCATTACCATTCATCTATGATTACATGACGAATGAGCTCCCAATATTCTTTTTAAGTCACGATAATATTTAATATTATGATCATAATCTTAATAAAATTAGTAATACTTGGATTTATTTATTTTTTTAATGGGATTTTCATTGGGTAGATATGCGGTAAGAGTGCAGGAGGAAAATTTTAATTCTAATCATATTTAGAGGGTCAGCTCAGACCTTGGGTTAGATAGCTTAGGTTATTTATGTTTCCTCCGTCGAGATGATCATAGAGATGATGGCTACTCTTATGTGACTCCTTACACTTGTCCGAGACCATTACCTCAATAATAATATATTCATTGACCATTTAAGTACCTCGAGTATAATCATCGGTGATCTATCTATCAATGACTAAAATAGGCAAAAGAGCTTGAGCAGTATCATGAATGTATATATTATGAGTTATAGATGAGCATCAACTATACCTCATATCTCATTTGTGAATCGAGCAACAAAGTTCATGAGTGTTTCTTTCTCCTTTTGCTTGAGTTTAAGGAGTGTTGTTGCTGAAGACCGAGGGTGTATATTCTCGAGGAAGTAGAGTTCAAACTCCCTTGCCAACTGTACAAAAGAGCAGATGGAAAGTGTCTTTAAGCGAGCATACCGTCATCCTATTATGCCTTTTAATGTGGTCAGGAAGATAGAGCAAATTAAAGCGTCAAATATGCTATATAACGATATTTAGGCATGAAAAATTATAATGTGTCACATCGAATCAACATTACCATCGAATGCCTCTAAGGATGAGAGACAAAAGTGTTAGTGAACCTTTACGTCATGGCCGAGGTGTCAGCACGGCTCGATTCGATTGACGATGTCTTGGAGCGTCTCGGGGACGAAGGTCTCACCTGATCGGGTCGTGCTAAGATTTAGTGTGGATGCCCTGCTTTCACGAACCCGTCCGCCTTTGTTGTGCCCTGGATTCCTGCACACAGGCTTGGGTCGGGATGGGGTGATCTCGATTTCGACCCCTCAAAAGCTTAAGCCAGTAGGGTTATCATGTTTGTTTGATGCCCCTCGTCAGATGCTGACGAGGGGTTCTTATTGTATTCCCCGGGAGGTCGACCGTACGCGGCCTTTGTTGACATTGACCCCTCGAGGGGCGAACATATCTTTAGATGTCCGTTGCCTATGATACGTGGGAAGGCGCCATGCGGGACCATCCTGGGCTTCCCGAAGCAGTCATTGCTGTGGTCAAATTGGTCGACGTGACGCCAGACAGTGCGGGGAGAGGACAACTGATGTCCCGGATTTCTGACGGAGCTTCTGTCGTTGCCTTGTCTCTTCCTCTTGAGTCCCCGTACTTGGGTTGACATGGCAGGGATGGAGCCAATGCAAGGTAATCCATAATATACCCTATCAAAAAGCTCATTGAAATTAGTTCCTTCTATTTTTTTAGGTGAACGATGATCGACCCAAGGTTGGGTCGACTAATGCTTCTTATTTTAACTATTGAAGCTTTTATCGCATCTCCTTCAAACATTTATCCATATATCATAATTGGATCTATAGGGAGTCCTCCATTAACCTTGCTGACTAGGCATCAAATTCAAGTAGGACATACTAAGAATATTGTGTTTCATTGAATTCCATGATCGAAAACTATGGTGCCCTCCTGGCCAGTGGTTTGATAGACCTTGGGCGCTCCTAGGATGTCGACATCGCATTGAATCAGAGAACCATGATGAGTGCTAGTAGCAATGGAGCCAGCGATTATAGGTGAGCTTGTGGCACCACTTGTTGGGGCATCCAGGGCAAATGTGGAGCGATGGTGGATGCACTAATGTGCAAAAAATAATAATCGCTACCCCCCTAAGGTGAAAGTATTATGGGTCGAGGGTAATTCCACTTCACTTAAGTGTCCATTGAGATGATTGGTGGGCATGCATTCCTACGATATTAAGTCTTTATTTTAGCAAAAAGAATGTTATAAGGTGTCATTAATATTTTGATCAGCCTAACGTGGTTCTGACTCATATACACAAGAATGTTCAAAGTGTAGTTGATATGCCTCTGAAATGGAAACATTGAGTTCCTAAGTTATCAGTTGTAAGAAGATCGAGATCAAGAAAGATTTTTAGACTCGATCACTTCGACACTCAAGTTTGAAACTCGAGGTAGATGAGTCTCGTAACCTCTAGTAAAAAGTGATCATTCGTAATTATGTTAAACATGAACTTTTATACATGATAGTGAAATGATGAAATATTTTATAAAATATTTTTCAAAGGGGCAACCTCTCACAATATTAATTTGACTTTTGTCCATATAGGCAACAAGGGTGGAGCAGCTCAACTTCTTCCAACCTATATGGCACTAGAGGGCACACGTCAAATAATAATTGATCAATGATATCTTCCTCGTTGAATAGTCTTTTTTTTTTTTTTTTCATGCATAGTATTCATAATAATATAATATTCTGATAGCTAGTTCACTATTGAACCATTTTGGTTATCTTTAAAATTGATGTATGATTATATTTCTTAAAATTTCATTAATCTTGCTCTCAGCATAATGGATTTTTCATCAAACTTTATATCTTAGATTTACGAATGTATTTCTTCCCTGAATTTTTCTTACTTAATCAATGAAAAAAATCTCTACTTACTTCAAGAGTCATGGGGGATTAGACACGAGATTCTCTCTCTCTCTCTCTCTCTATATATATATATATATATTTATATAATTATGGTTCAGCTCCTCTCATATTTGATAAGTCTATTAACATGAAACCTCTTTCTCTTTTTTTTAGATATATTGATAATATTCTCTTGTGTCTTCGGGCTACTAAAAGTTCTATCGTATTGTTCTTGATATCTTTCAAACATATAAATCTTTTACAAATCAATGTATTAAACTTGCCAAGTCAGATTTTTTTTTTCCAAATACTAAACCTGATAGAAAGCATAAAATCTACTTATTTTTTTCATGTTAGAGAGGGTCACTTCCCTTTCAAATACTTAACTGTAGAAGAATTCCTCCTTCTGCCTTCAATGGCATGACTCAACAAATCCAAAAGAAATTGGGAAGCTCAAATGGGTCCAATCTCTCCTAAGCTCTTTTCTCATGGACGTCAAAAAGATCATCGATAGGAATTAGTCTCAGCGGTCTGCGTCTTATTTATTGAGACACAGTCATCTCCCCCAAGCATGTGGAAGACCCTCATTCCATGCAGCTTCCATCCCAAATTTGATAGCCAACATTTAAGCCCTCCAGCGATCAGTGTCCGGCGCAAAAGGCTCGGCCGGCAAGGAGACTTTTCAGCGCAGGATCATAGCAGGTAGTCGCCTCTCCGGTCTCGTCCTGCGATGTAAAGGAGAGCTAAACCCCCCAGTAGGTCGTCGACCTCTCAGCATTAAAAGCCTCAACATGAGCATTTTACATGAGTCAACTGGCCAATAACTTCATTTTTAATCTCGAACCCTCTCACCCTGCCTAAATGCTATGTCGGCTCTGATATCAAATGTCACGATCCGAGTCTGATGAGATCCCTATAAGTTAATCATATACATTTTCCACTTCCGATATGGGACGATACGAGACTAATGGGATGATACACTTTTTTGCTCCGACGAGGAGGATGGATACGGATTGGTTTGTACTCGACCGACTTTTACCGTGATATATTTTATCTTAAAAGGAAGAAACGTATGAGGCGTCGCCCGTGTGAGCTACGTCAGTCAGGGCTCAGCACTCACCTCTACGGCACTCATAGCCTGGGCGGTCCATCTGTTAATTTAGCTGGGACCCACTTGAGCGACCGATAGAAATGCGAGAGTGGCTGCTGGACGCTGACGGGAACTAGATAGGCAATCTTGCACCTCGGTAGCTCCGTCTCTCTCTCTCTCTCTCTCTCTCTCTCCCTCTCTCTCTTATGAACATTATTATTATTAGTTACGAAGGCTGTTTAGAAAGGAAATCGTCTTCTTCGTTTGCTTTTGCCCGCCGTCGATCCAAGCATCAGGCAAGAGAGATGGCCCAAGCGCTCCGCCTCCTCTCTCCGCCCACCACCAACCCATCCATCCCCAAGTTCTCGGTTCCCGCACCTCCGTGGCGCCCCCTCCCATCCTTCCCCCGCCGCCGCCCCCGCGCCCTTCGCGCTTCCGCATCCCTTCCCCCGCCCGATCTCGGCCTGATCTCCTCTGACGGTGGCGCTGGCGCTGGCGCGGCCATCGATGTGGACGCTGTGACCGAGGCTGAGATGAAGGAGAACGGGTTCCGGAGCACGAGGCGGACGAAGCTGGTGTGCACGATCGGCCCCGCCACCTGCTCCGCGGAGCAGCTGGAGGCGCTCGCTGTCGGCGGGATGAACGTGGCGAGAGTCAACATGTGCCACGGGAGCCGCGAGTGGCACCGTCAGGTCATCCGACAGGTCCGCCGGCTCAACGAGGAGAAGGGGTTTGCGGTCGCCGTGATGATGGACACTGAGGGCAGTGAGATCCACATGGGTGATCTCGGCGGCGCCGCTTCCGCCAAGGCCGAGGTGAGGTTCTTGGACCGGTTTCTTGTAATAAAGACGCTTCCTTTTCTCTTTACATTTGGGTTGTCTTATTCCAATTTGGATCTTAGCCAATGCACAGAATGAAAATGGGTAAGATCTGGGCAATGAGAATTTTGGGAGCTACAGAGTTTATTCATGTCCTTTTACATTTGTTGGAATATTAATCGTCGCTTATCTGTTTCTTAAAACTCATTCGACTGATATGTTGACTTGTAAATTTGTTAAGAAAATATAGATGAAGATTGTACTCAACAGTAGAGTGCAATAGACAAAATAGTACTCAGATTAGCATGCTCTAGAAGTGGAAAAGTTCCAAATGCTGGAGAATTACTAATTTATAAATATAGCCTAGCTTAATTAACTATAGAAGTATTTGAGATTGAAGGAGTAATCAAGAAGAATAAATAGGAAAAGGAGGGGGCCAAGTGAAAAGGAAAGAGGGTCAGAGAACTCTTCACAACAAAATTCAGGCGAATGGTACTGGCCAAACCCTTTCTTCCTATTTCTGAAAAGGGTTTGATAAATTAATTAATGTTTACTGCCTCTCTCTCTCTCTCTCTCTCTCTCTCTCTCTCTCTCTTGTGAAGATCTAGTAAGTATGTGCATATCTACTGTATGTATGATTCATGCAGCAGTCAATCTGGAGTTCTCTTTCATGTCAATCATACCTCTATAACATACTTTCTCATGCAGGATGGTGAAATTTGGACATTTAGTGTGAGAGCTTTCAACTCGCCTCTGCCAGAACGGACCATCAATGTGAATTATGATGGCTTTGCTGAAGGTTGAATACTGAGAATCCATTGTTTTTTCTTTCTTCCTCGAGGAATTTCTACTTTTTTGGTTAGGAACCTTTTCTGACCATCATTTTGGTCTCTTAAGGTTGTTTGTGCCTAATACAGATGTTAAAGTTGGTGATGAACTTCTGGTGGATGGAGGAATGGTTAGATTTGAGGTGATTGAGAAGATTGGGCCTGATGTAAAGTGTCGTTGCAATGATCCTGGGCTGCTGTTGCCACGTGCAAATCTTAGTTTCTGGCGGAATGGTAGGCTAGTACAGGAGCGTAATGCCATGCTTCCTACAATTTCTTCTAAGGTTGGTACATCCATATGCACCCACTCAATGGCTCCTTTTGAAAACTTCCAAAATTCAATCATAAGTGCATGTGTTGCACACTTGTTATCAAGAATCTCCTAAGTTACTATTTTGGATTATGTTTAGACTGAAATCACTTAATTTTAGAAGAGCTGCAGATTGCATTTTAATCTCCCTTCAGTATTAATAATAATATTCAATACTTGACTTACTAATACAGTGGGTACAAGTTATTAGTACAATCTCAATTACTAAAGTCAAGAATCAAAGTTTGCCATCAATCTCGCACAAAAACATTACAGCCTTTTCTGACACTAGAGAAGCACACGCATGAAGTTTCTTCTGTTTCTTGTCAGTGTTGTTCATCATTCTTTGGTATCTTGTCTTGTTTAAGTAAATTCTTCATATTTCATAATGTCAGGTGTCATTTCAATCTTTGTTTACAGTGTCTCACTCTATTTTGGCTTTTTTTTCTCTCACATTCTCTACTGCAGGTTCAAAATTATTATGTGGTGGCTGCATTCATTATTGCGCATTACTAGATTATCTCAACTTGATAGTAATTTTCTGAAGCCACACTTATTGATGCTGTTGAGCATCTTGATCTTTGTTATGTTAATTGCATCAACTAGGTGTTCATTTCAACAGTGTATAAACTTATGAGCATTTAAGAAAAAATGTTACCTTTGTTTATGTTGTATTATAGTTTCACTTTTGATATAAATGATTTTTTTTTCTCTGACTCGGGAACACTATGCAATTTGGTTTAGCTGCAAAAAGTTATTGAATGGGACTTGCTAGACTACAACTTTGCACTTGCCACTGTCACATCTGAAATAGGAATATCTCGAGTGATGTTTTTGTGTAGCTGGAAATTTTGTTTGCATAATCTAGATAAATGCAAATACCTATATATAAGCTTAATGATAATTTTAAGTGCTCCAGAAGAGTGAAAGATTAGCTAACTCTGGAAAATGCTTTCATTAATCTGCACTACATGCACTTATGATTTTGATACATGCAGGATTGGCTTGACATTGACTTTGGGATTTCTGAGGGTGTAGACTTTATTGCAGTATCCTTTGTCAAGTCTGCAGAAGTCATTAATCATCTCAAAAGCTATATAGCTGCACGATGCCGTGACAAGTAAACAGAAAACCCTTACCCTTTTTCCTTTTCTTATTATTATTATTTTGCTTTATAAACCAAAGAAATTGCTAGTTTAGCTAATAACAGAACATATTTTCCAATGACAGAACATATTTTTCAAGGCATTTTTTTCTTTTCAAAGTGATCCAAGATGTAGTCCTTTCTGTATACTGCAAATGTGCTCCTGCTGATGTGGGGTTTGGGAGGGTTAACGTACGCAAGCAACCTGATACGTGTAGATGTTATTTCTATGACTCCAACTCTCATCACCCAAGTTACAAAAAAGGCATATGTTCTTGAAATCCATATATGTGAATCTACTATCCTTGATGATGGCTAATAAAGTGATATCAGAATTATGGGATCTTTTTGTGTTCAACTGTGAAATGGCAGAAAACATGTGCTAAAATTGCATCAGTTTTTGTCAACACCTTTTTCTTCTTTTTAAATGTCATATTTCACTTCACTATCTACAATGATGATTGATATTAAATAATTATTATTTGTCATGGTGGGGCTCTACAAGTCATGACTGAAGGAAGATTAATATGATATGACTGAAGTCATGGTGGGGCTCTACAGTGGCTACAAGTTATTCAGTTCTACATTCATTCTGATGCTATCTGCAATCAAGAAATCTTTCTGATAAATTTTACAAGCTTAAAAGAAATATGAACGAAACCTCCCCTACCTTTTTTGACTGTTTGTAAACCCACTCTTACTTGCACTTTTATGTGATGGCTTGCAATTACATATTCCAGCGAAATTGCAATAATTGCAAAGATTGAGAGTATTGATTCCTTGAAGAATCTGGAAGATATCGTTCTTGCATCGGATGGAGCGATGGTAGCCAGAGGAGACATGGGTGCTCAAATTCCACTGGAAGAAGTCCCTTCTGCTCAGCAAAAAATTGTTAAGCTGTGCAGGCAGCTAAACAAGCCTGTCATTGTAGCTTCGCAGCTTCTGGAGTCTATGATCGAATATCCTACACCAACTAGAGCTGAAGTTGCTGATGTTTCAGAGGCAGTTAAACAGAGGGCTGATGCTCTGATGCTCTCAGGTGAATCAGCTATGGGCCAATATCCAGAGAAGGCATTGACTGTGCTCAGAAGTGTAAGCCTACGCATTGAAAGGTGGTGGAGAGAGGAGAAGCACCACGAGGCGATGGAGCTTCCAGATATTGCATCTTCTTTCTCTGACAAAATTTCAGAGGAAATCTGTAATTCGGCTGTCAAAATGGGTTAGTATCTTCATGTTCACTTCTGCCAAACTATATTTAGCTACATCATTGGCCATCCCAAACTATATTTAGCTACATCAATTGCGTTGATTTCTATCTTGTACAAAAAGAATTCCTTTTAGCAATTCCATTCTCTTCCTAGTTGAAACTTCAAAGTGCTTCTTAATCACTTAGCGATGTAGTTTATCTTACCACGTGTCCTTCTGTTTTTTGGCTCTACATTGATCTTTTCATATCGGGATTGTTATCTTAACATCAAATGAGCAAATTTTAAGGAATCAATATCTGTACTCAAACTAATGTCAGACTCCTGCTACTTCTTTTGGTATATTATAACATATATACTCCTGATAAAACCAACCTATTCTTTGTGATTAGAATGGCAGCCATTTAACCTTAACATCTGCTATATCAGTAAAAACTTGGTTGTATGTCTGGCAGTATTAACATTGATGGTTCACATAATTGTGGTCATAGGATAGCTATGAAATTTAGGAGAGAGAGGGCAACAGCTTCCTGGATACTGTCTTGAGCAAATTTATTCAAAGATCAACTAAGAAGAAAATCATAAAAAGAAAAAACCAAAATAGGAACAAGAATTTCCAGGAAGAACATGTTTCTTTTCCTTCAGTTAAAAGTCTGTATCAAACTTTATCATTATAAAACACATGAAAATTGTTATTACACACCAGTCATACCTTGAAATATATTCTGGTTTGGAGCAGACTTTATGGCATCCAGCCTTCAGTCCAATGGCACCATTGTGTATGATTCTTAAATATGGTTAACACACACCTTTTGCATGGTTGAGATAATTATTGCCTTAGCTGCCCGCCATGTGCAGCAGTTTTCTCTTTGCATAAGTTTGTGTGTAGTGGCTGTTCTTTTTTCTTTTGACCCAGCTAATTGTGACCTACAGCCAACAACTTGGGAGTGGATGCACTCTTCGTCTTCACAAGAACAGGTCACATGGCCTCTCTGCTTTCGCGCTGCCGCCCCGATTGTCCAGTCTTTGCATTTACGTCCTCGACATCTGTGAGAAGGCGATTGAATCTTCTGTGGGGTTTGATACCCTTTCGGCTTAGTTTCTCAGGCGACATGGAGAGCAATCTTAACCGCACCTTTTCTTTGCTCAAGGCCAGAGGAATGATCCAGTCTGGTGACTTGGTCATTGCATTGTCGGATACGCTGCAGTCTATTCAGGTGATGAATGTACCCTAGGAAGATTTTTGCCTTAGCTTGTCCCACGTGATGTATGATAAGCTGCATATGGCGAGCCTGTTAAGATAGTCGTTGGCTTTGCGGGCTAATAATTTGTTTCCGTACTCTGTTGTCTCTTCTAGATTATTCATCATGGCTGATGTTTTATGCTTGAAATTGTGATACTTGACCTTCAGCTTGCATATTTCGATCATGTAATTGCTGTTATTAAGTATTTGCCAGTAATATTAGTGCTCAAGTTTAGTTGAGCAGGAGCTCCTACTCTTAAATTTCAGCTCATTCTGCATGCCTTGTCTGCTTATAATCTGGTAATACCGGTGATCTGTTAAAAATGTCACATAGATTGAGATTGACAGCTTCCTCTTACCATGATCTGGGAAACTAAGTCCATTGCATTTTTTTCTCTGATTTTAAGTAGTATAGCTTTATTCCAAAATGTTTATTTAGTCATTGGTTCCTTATTATTTGTGACAGAAAACTGATGCAGGAGAACATCAAGATTGATGCAGTGTAGTCATCTAAATGACTATTAAATCAACTACAGCCATTCTCTTAATTCTCTGAGATTATTGAAGGCAAATAGCTGCCAGAATCTTCTTTTTTTTAAGGTGCAAATTCTGGTTAAAACTTCAAGAACTTTTTCCTTTTTTGGTGATTTAGATTGAGCAAGACTTTGGTGCAATTATACTTCAATATACTCGACATAGGAACACGAAGAAAAAGAGGAAAAAGTTAAACCATTGAATTTATTATATCAGCCAAATCATGAAGAAAATATTGGAAAAGTCCGATATACTTTAGAATCATGGCGAAAAACCTATCCGATATACTTGATATAGAGTCCAAAACCCCCTCGACACACCCAAAAGCTTGTATTCGGATCCCACTTAGACACACAAAATTGAAAGTTCGAAACCTCCATAAGCGTACCGTTTTTGGTTCGAACTAAGTCGGACGAGTCAAACTATCATCGACATGTTCCCAAATTTGGATAGAATAATATATCACAGTCCCTTAAAAATACTTCCCAATAAAAAAGAAAACTTGCACGTGACCAGGTGCATCATGGTAAATACATAAAAAAGGGCAAAATATATACTGCACGTGATTAGGTGCATTATGGTAATTTCGCAACCTCCCCACGTCGCACTCGCTTCCTCCCTCCGCCCGTTGTCTCGCACATGGAAGCGAAATGGCGCGAACTCATCTCCAATCTCCCGCCTCGTTCCGACAATGCTTCCCTCCCTTATCCTCCTTTATTTCTCCCATCGCAACTTCACATACACTCTCTCTCTCTCTCTCTCTCTGAGCCATCGAAGCTCCGATCCATCCTTCCACCGACATGCTTCGCCGTCCATCCAACGCCCCTGACCGAGCGGCGCCGCCGAAGAAACGGGGCAGCTACAACTGCCGCCGGTGCGGCCTCCCCAAAAAGGGCCACGTCTGCCCCTCCGCCGACGGCTGGCCCGCACACGTCCCCCTCCCTCGCTCCGGCCACCGCCTCCGCCGCGCACTCTCCTTCGACGATGATCGCCACTCCTCCCCGCTGCCTGCCTCCGCGATGGAGGACGACGGCCTGATCGGGACGACGGCCTTGGTGGCTGTAGAGAATCCGGATGGGGTCGTCGAGGAGGAGGAGGAGGACGAGGTGGGGTGCGGCGGAGAACGGACCTTGCCCGCGTCGTGCATGGTGGAGGTCCTACGGCGATTGTCGCCGACGGAGCTGATGCGGGCGGCGGCGGTGTGCCGGGGGTGGAGAGAGTGTGTGAGGAGGGTGTGGCGTTGCGCGGAGGAGCTCAGACTTAGGGTTTCTCCTAGATCGCAGGTCGCGTTCGTCGGATCGGTGCTCCACAAGTGTGCCGGATTGGCCCGGCTCACCCTGAGGATGGAAAGGTTCGAGCTCTCTCTCTCTCTCTCCCTCCCCGAGAAGGAAGGGGGTGACGGATGCCATTGGCAGAACAAAACTACATAAAAAGGATATTACAATTATCAATCGTCCAACTGTTATTCGAAAACCCGTGCTATACCAACTACACTTCACAGATTTAACATATTAGGGTTCCTTGAAGAGATTTCTAGGGGCTGATCTAAACCTTATGCTACAGAAAAATGATTTATATGCAGCAGGTTAAGACATGAATAAAAACGTGGTATTTCGACGATATATCGCTTTGTAAATGATTTTTTTTTATCATAGATCTGTGGTTTTTGGCATCTGATCCTATTGTCCATCCAAAAGAACGGCGAATAATATATGGTGAAATCTCAATCAGTAGTCAGAACAAAATACTACAACATCGTGCTTTATAAGATGAATGAGTGTAGATCTGCTCTTGTGTTTTGTTTTTCTTTTTTTACATTTATGTGTTTACATGTTTTAGATCTGAAGGGAAGAGATCTTGCACCAGCACCTGGGTTAGGTCATGAAGGTCGTATGTTCCCATCAATATACCTTCTAATGGTCCATTTGATTTGGCTTTACAGTTGATTAATGGTAGGATGTGATCGGATCAACCATACTGATGGGAACACAGACCTTAGTACTATTTGCATACTACATTTTGCATTTTTCTTTTTTATTTTCCTTGAAAAAACACCATATTTTTACTGCAGATCTTTTTTTTTTTTAATGTTTTTTTTTTTTTTGTCTGGTTTGGGGTCTGGAGATGAGATGGTTAAATGGTTGAACACTAATTTACCTATCATCTCTCCTTGGCTTTAGATAAGAATAAATCAAGTTAAGTAGTTTCTTTAAAAAAAAAGATTACAGAAAGAATGTCTCTATAAATACACTTGATGAGGTTGAACTATAAAACTGATCTCATCATTTTGGGTTGCTACTTTGTAGTTTGAACTCATGTATATAATATATGAGAAAGTTAGACTGGATGTTGTCTGATGGGACCTTCTTGTGTTCTATTGCTACAGTGATTTTGATGCGACAATGTTAGCTTGCGTTGCTTTCTCACTGCCTAATTTAGAAGCTTTTGAGCTAAACATGGCTGAAAACACGGTCAACCGGATAACTGGGTATGTCATTGACTTTTAAGCATTCTATCACAAGTTATGTTGAACTTTCAATTTTTCATTCTATGTGGGATCTGTGCATATCGTGTACATCTTAGGTGTAAGTTCACAGATCACTCTTGCCTTCTCAATTTGGTAGATCCTCATCAATGAGAAACCACTAAATTGATTTGTTAGCACATTGATGCAATGTTCATTTTCTTTCAGATTGACATGTTTTAGTGTTAATGTGGATATATTTCTTGTGTTAGGTCCTGTTCTGCGCACACCAACTGCATGAAAATTTATGCAAAATATTTTTATATAAATTAGGGTTGCAACTTCAAGTTGTTCTACTACTGAAAAGCCAACTAATGTGATCATGTTTGCCTGGAATGTGTGATTCGTTCTTCTGCCGCAATTTTGTCTGGGTAGTCACCTCAACTTATGCTGTGCAATGATCTGATCATTGTTACTTACTAAAAAATTCATTTACCATTCATTTGCATGTGTTTATATTGTTGTTTGTCAACTGTCATACATCTTTTCTCTAAAAAAAGAAAAAAAAAACATGAACTCCAAGATATCTTGAATAGAGCGATGACATACTTGTAGTTTTAGAATAAAAAATAAATTGATCTTTGGATGATTACTGCACTACCTTTTATCTTCGATGCTGGGCTTTTATGTCTCTCTCTATTCTACCAATAGCCTTTGATATATTCCTCTTTTCAGAAGAATGCTGGTCATAAACTTTCTGGGTGTGCTTTAAACTTCTGAACTCGACCACACCAAGGTCTATTAGTAGATTTTATTCTCCAAGTTAATATACATCTTTGCAATTGTTCTTCTGTATGACAACATATGTGCCACCCTTCTGTTTGTTTGTAGGGATGAGTTGGGTAATTTTGCTGCCAAGAAAAGATGTCTCTCTACTCTTAAATTTGAGGGTTGCACCAACATCGGATTCGTCAATATCTCTTCATCAAGCCTGTTGATGCTCTGGCTATCAGATCTTTATTGCATTTCAAAAATGGTATGCATTTTTGTCTTTTTCACACCATTTAATTTGGGGTATTTATGTTCTAGCTTTGTGCATGTAATGACTTCCATTCATATTGATAGGTACTTAAATGTCCTAATCTAAGAGAGCTTTCTCTTGATTTTACTCGACAAGTTAATGATTCAACAGATCTTGCTACAATGCTGGAAAGTCTGGGGTGTACTTGTCCATGTCTAAGAAATATTCATATTGCTTCACTTCAACTTTGCAATGAAGCTGTCCTTTCTCTTGCAAGTGCTAATATAAGGTAGGTATTATGTCTGAGATACATTCATGCTCATGTCAAACGATTATGAACTGGTTTCTTACATTCAACAAATAGGCATTCTATTGTATCCATACTCCATAATGTGTCAGATTAATGCTCAAATATACAAATTCATTTGTCTACAGACGACACAAAATTCTTTCAAAAACAATTTTTTTCTATTTCTTTTCAGTTTCACCATAGTAGCAGTTTTATGGATGAATTTTATTTGTCTCAGGGATTTGCGTATGCTCTCTTTGGTTCTAGGCTCAAGAATCACAGATGCTGCTGTGACTGCTATAGTTTCATGTTACACAAGTCTAGAGTTGCTTGATTTAAGTGGGTAGGTGGTTCAATGAGTGCTCTTATATGTGACTATGGTCTTTAAAACTCTGGATTAACAATTCCCTTTCATGTCAACTGCTATATTTGTTGATTGAATTTATATTGCTTTAGATCTCTATGTACTCTTTGCACTTTTGCTGTTTTGTTAATGCTATAAAATTATTTGGGTTATATTTGCTTATTGTCCCTTTTTTTTTCAGGTCAAGTATTACTGACACTGGAATTCGTATGATATGCAATGTGTTTCCTGAGACTCTCTCCAGACTCCTACTTGCTCTTTGCCCAAATATTACGTCGAGTAAGTATTTGTATGTTCCCTCATATTTCATCAGTTTGTTTCCTCTGGACAGGACTCATCCTACCTTGTCAGTTGACTGAATATACACTCCATTCCTCTTTTCTGTGCCCATGCTTCTTTAGGTGGGATCCAGTTTGCTGCAGCTCAATTGCCTCTTCTTCAGCTAATTGACTGTGGGATGAGCATACGTGATACTGATTCCCAGTATGAAAGTTCTAAACAAAATATTAGTCCCATTAAGAGGAGGACTGGCGAATATAATAAGTGGCAGAGACTGTCTACAACAAAGTCAAGTCACGTCTACCAAAAGCTGATCATAAAACATGGAAATTTAAGGAAGCTCAGTTTATGGGGTTGCTCAGGTTTAGATGTAAGTGACAATGCATAAGAATCTATCAGAGGCAACTCTAGCTTCTGTGTATGGTTTCTTTCTCATCATACCTACTGAACTAACTTTAATACTGCAGGCCCTTTACTTGAACTGCCCAGAGCTTAATGATCTAAATCTTAACTCATGTACAAACTTGCATCCAGGTATCATACTGCCGTTTAATCTTTAGGATGTTATAACGACACTTCATGATTGCTGACAAGTTTGCAAATTTTACCCAGAGGAATTGTTGCTCCAATGCGAAAAATTGAAGAATGTACATGCTTCTGGATGTCACGATATGCTAATTGGAGCAGTGCGGAATCAGGTATCAATTCTTGTAAGTTGCATTTACCTGCGTGGATCTTTTGTTCATGCATCGCAAACATGTCAAGTTTCTAGCAAAACTTGACATGCATCTGGATGTCAACATGCATCTGGATGTCAAATTTTGCCAGTAGATTGCTTTTCATTTATCAACATTTTGCATACAGAAAAAGGTGAGAAAACTGACACATTTATGTTGCATACATATCATCCAAATGCTTGATAAGAATATTTACAGCCAGTGACCATATTTGCAGGTACTGAATGAGTTTTCTACTGCCGAAAACCATCTACCGTGTAAGCGACTAGCTGATGGATCAAAAAGGATTCAGGTACCTCATTTTGTTCAGCAGGTGAGGGCAAGTATTTATAGAGCTATGCTTGCTTCTCAGCATCTAGGTGGTGTTTTTTTTCTTTTTTTCTGAAGTTTTCTGAATTAGACTGTTTCATGTTTGCTACTTCTTGCAGCTATCAGATGACAAGAAGCAGAAGAGGAAACTGCTGACCCAATGTATTGTGCATCATGACTAACAAATGCAAGTATGTTGTGCATCTGTCATCCCACTGATAATACATAAGCAATTCATTTCTTCTTTATGTTGTACCATATCCTTGGGCCTTACCCTCAATCCTCTCTATTGTATCAGCTCTATGACTGGACTTTTTGGAGTTCAGGAGATTGTAGAAGAATAAAAGTATTTCCAATGTTCTACTGTTTAACTTCAAGAATAACCATTCTTTCAATCAAGCATTACAAATTCCTGCACGGTTTTCATTTTAGAATTTGGCAAATTTACAAATGAAATAATTTGTTTTATATGTGATGAAGATTTCACTCTACATAAATATGTAATTAAATGATATTGACAGAAGACATTGGATTGGCCATCTTGCATCAGGTCATGGAAGACCAAAACCAAAACCTAAAGTAGCATGTAAATTTAGCAAAAGTGTAGCCCTTGTTCTCATATAAAGATTTCGCTTTTAGATCTCTAAAATTAATAGAAATTACTCTGACATGACTGAAAAATTTATAATAAATGGAGATCAAATTCAATATTAGACTTTATTGGATTATGTTCCTCTTGATGTTCTGTTTTGATTGCTTGTCGATCCTCGTGTGATTATATTATCATGCGTGTACGATTGTGTTGGCACGTGAGTAGTGATGGATTCGCATGTTGTGGTGGGCTTTCTACCATCGTGCAATTGTTCAAAGATGCTATAAGTCTTTTCATTTGTACTTTGTTTGAATAGAGTTGCGTATTGCCTATACAATCTATCCAACATGCCTATCTACTCTTACACGTGAGTGCTCGAGTGCTATTGGATACAATAATAAGAATGTCCTAAGGATTTTTGGCTTATGTTAGTGCAGTTTAATTTATTTTTCCACTTTATATATATATATATATATTTGCTGAATGGTTATATAATTTGGAGCGTTTTCATTTAACCCATATCATTAAAAAAAGCTATTTGCTTAAACATGCAAATGTTGTACAACGGGATGCACGTACAAAAATATACATAAAGAAGACAACCTGCACGAGGAGGATGCGAGGAGGATTCCTTCGCTTTTATAAAGAGGCACAAGACAAAGGCTTTCTGTGTCAGCACGTGTTTCTTCATACTCGCATTTCCTACCTGTATTTTGATTGCGTGGTGCTGTGGGCCCTGAAAGGGCCATGGCTGACTTCTTCAGATGTAAGGTCAGGTAGACGGGAGGAGTTGGCGGTAGGCGTGTGGGAGAAGCGCGTTCTTCCCCTTTCCTCACCACAGAGAAAAAGAATGGAGAAGAAGACGTCACCTCCTCTGCCTTCCAAGGGATTCGATCGAGAGAGACAGAGAGATAGAGAGATGGAGAGGGTCTTCTCGGTGGACGAGATAGGCGACTCCTTCTGGGCCGCCTCCCCTGCCCCGCCGCCGGGGCTCCCTCTTCCGCCCGGCGGAGCCGCTATGAACCGGAGCCCCTCCGAGTGGTATTTCGAGAGGTTTCTGGCAGAGGAGCCCACCCCCGCCCCTACCGCTGCCTCCTCCTCCCCCAACCCTAACCCTAACCCTAGCTTCCATCCCAACCCCAACCGTAACGTGCCCCCCAATCCGAGCGCCTCCTCTTCCGTCGTGGGGTCGAACTTTTGCGAGGGTCGGAGGGAACTGGGACGAGTCGGGGATGATGAGGTGGTGGAGATTAAGGCGCCGATCGTTGTGGCTGTACCTCCACAGCCTTCCGATCTGCCGGCTACCGTCGATCCCGGGCACTACCAAACGCTTTTGAAGCACAAGCTGGACATTGCCTGTGCCGCTGTCGCCATGTCCCGGGTACACCCAGTTGCGTAATATTTTTCATGAATTATGTCTACTTCCAATTATTAATCCATTATCATTGTCTGTTTAGCTTGTATAAGGATATTAAACAACGTTCCTCTTTTAATTTCAGCGTCTTGGTTTCTAAGATTATCAGTTTTGGACTATGAAATTTCCACTGAAGGTTTATGGTATAGGCTTTCTTTTCTGATATCTGTACCATAGTTTTACTTTACTGTCCTAGATAATTGCCTGATCCTTCTAGAAAAAAAAGGAATGCTGAATGGCATTGATCCAAAATCTTGGGGGTTGTGTTCAGTGTGCAAAAAGTGCTTCTTACCCATCAAACTACCCCTTCCCAATTTGGCGCTTGTTTGTCCTGTTAACACATCTCGAGTGGATGGAAAGGATAATTGTCTCGGTTCTTGGGTGCAAGTTTCATCATTAGCTTACTTGAGTGGTTGAGTGAGCATATGAACCAAACTGAAGCAAGACTGGTACAATCTCTGAGCTCTATATTAGTGAAGGTTTGATGGCACAATGGAGCTGGCTAATGCTTTCAAACATTTATACTTGATCTAATCTATGCCTTGAGATTCAAATTAAGAGACTTATGAGCAAAATATATGATTTTTAAAATATACAATTTCTTAAATTAGAAAGCTTAGTCAGATGTACAGTTAATTTTCTAGTTACTGATACATAAGCTTAATCAAATGAAACTAAAATGAATCGAGAAGTATCAAAGGGAAAAACTCCCAAGCCAAGAAATAAACAATAACAACGTGGACAGATAAAGGTGTGTAATTGTTTTTTCAGCTGAAAATCAAAAGGAACTGTTTCATTGTTCCCTTCCATTAAAAAATTTATATTTGAGTTTAATGTTTTATTTGTTTGTTATTTAATCCTTCAGGGCGCAATATCCTCATGGAACTAACTGCATGAATTTTTGTCTTGGTTGTTAGTGCACCCCATGCATTGTTTAGTATTACTGTTGCTTCATATCATCATTATCCTTAAATCAGTGTCAATAAATCAAAATGAAAAAGAAAGAAAAAGGAAATCATCAACCATCTGCAGACAGAACCATGATAGAATTGCAAAAGATGAGGGTTATCTCTAGATTGTAAGATAAAATATACGGCAAGATATGACCATAAATCATATTTGAGAGATATCCGCTGCATCGTTTGCATAACTATTATCATGCAATTAACTGTTGCAGTAGTATAAAGCTAATTTTATGCATAATTTCTATTTTTTTTACCATTACTTACCAAAATATTTGTAATGGACGAAAAATTATAAAGATTGATGTTCCCTTCTTTCTTACTGAGTTGTATAATTTCTTTGTTCCCTAGTATGTACCTTAGATGTTGCAGTACAGCTCTCATTTGATTTTATATTTTCTGGCAACAACATTGTAAATTCTTAGATGTCATGGCTAATGTGTTTTTGAAGTGTAATAATTCACAGATTTATTTACATGTTACATTCTACCAATTTTATAAATGAACTATGTGGATGTTAATTGTGGTTTCTCAAATCGTATATTTCTATATTGCAGGGTTCTAGTGTTCAAGATTCTGCTTCTATAGCTGACAGCATGTCACCGATTTCAGATGTTTCGCATCTTGGTTCTCAAGCACCTGTGAAGGGTATAACTGCCAATACAATATAGTCATCTAGGATATACTTTTGGCATATTTTTCCCATTTACAAATTTGTAAATTGTTTCTGGTGAAGAGAGTGTTTGAAGAGCATATTCATCTTACTGGAATTGCGAGGCATGTTGATGTGTATTCATATTTAGGATAGGTTATGCCAAGTTAAATCATATCTGTATGTTCATATTTTCAATGCTATCATATAAGTCGAAGGAAAAGAGTTGAATGGATTTTTATGCTAATATATATAATAACAGTACTTACTTTTCTAGAAAAAATTGTAAGAGGACTCTGATTCATAAAAAAATGGCAGTCATGTAGAGTGAAGGCCAAAGTTAGTTGATTTCATCTTTTTTTATGTCATGGATTAAATAAAACTTGGTCATATTCTAGTCTAGAGAATACTATGTGGAGGAGTGAATGGATTCTGCACCGACACTAATATTTTCAATTTCGTATAATCACACAAGGTGTGGACTGTCTTATGCTACTAGCAACTTGGTTATCTCGATTGTAAAATCAAGTCTTCTATATTTGATTTTACATGTAAAAAGTTGAAAGATGCAATAAGTCTTCTTTCCTCAAACTCAGCCAAGGATAGAGTAGGAAGTAAAAGAAGCTACAAGGTCAATTTTGTCACCTGGATACAAATGCCATAAAATACCAAGTATTTTAACTTGGTTTAAATTTATTGAATGTAGCTCTTTTTCTTTCAGCAGTTCAAATGCAACATAGCAACATGCCCTTTGTTACAATATGCTTGAAATTGTCACTGTTGGCTTGTTACTTTGCATGGAAAATTTGGTGCATGCCAATGTATTACAATTTTATTTTATTTTTTCCTTTTTTGTCTTTCTTAACATTTAATATTGCATTGTCAGGAAATGCTTCTACAGTGCAACATAAGGCAGGTGGTGGACCTGGTGGAGTCCCAGCTCTGTCCATTTTGCAGAATTCAGGCACGCAAGGTAGGCCAGCTACTAGTGGTTCATCAAGGGAGCAGTCAGATGATGATGATGAAGTTGAAGGAGATGCAGAAACCAATGATAATATGGATGTAACCGATATAAAACGCATAAGGAGGTGAATATGATTGTGCAATAATTTAATAGTGGTTTTCTTGGAATAGCAAGCCCTTAATGACCTTTATTTCCTTATAATCTGAATGCTGCATTAATTCTGTTGCCTGACTTGGGTCATATCTTTGTTATATATTTATAACTTAAATATCCATGTCTTTTCGGTCTTTGATTTTCATACTTCAAAATGGTAATAGGTGGTGGCAGGTCAACTTTTCAGCATTCCTTGGAAGCCTGAGGTTTTAGAACTGCAGTTATGTTGACCTGCCACCACCCATTGCTGCATAACTGCAGTTTTTTGGATGTTTTCTTGAACAATATGCAAGTTTTTTGGACATAAGATTGGACATTTTTTTGGCAGAACTTAAATGTCATGTATTCATTATTTCGAGAGAGTCATGTGACATGATAGAGTTTGGATATGACAAAAACTATGAAGTATTTGTAATATTTCTGTGGTTTTGTACTTTTGTTAAGGCACTCGGCTATGGGTTAAAGTGACCAAAATGTCAATGCATTTAATTAGCATAACGTGTGACACATTTCAAGTGTTCAAGTGTAGAGATATATGGTTGGTCACTACACTAAAGCATCCATAGCTTGTGTTTCTCTGGTTGTCTGCGGAATATCCTGTAACTTTTGTGTTTCTTACTGGCACATATCTCAATCGAGGCACTGAGGGTTCGATCACATTCTTACAATATCAGCAGGAACCAAATGGTGTTTTGGAAATGGTTGATGTTGGTTGGGTTTTGACTTGTTCCTATAGGTTCTTGACTGGTATTGACCAGTTTCTGACTGATCTCAACCAATTTTTGGTCGATTTTGGCTGACGTCAAATTATTTAAAAAATTCGATCCAACAATCCATGATCAGGGCCAATTCTGTTCTTTAATCCTATGGGCAACCTGGATACCTATTTGCCCTTTTGTCTTTCACCAGGAAGTGAGTCTAAAATTAGATTAGAGGTGTCTTTCTTGGTTTTACATTGGTGATTGATATGGCTCACATTGTGAGAGACCAAAGCACGGCAGAAGAATGAAATTTAAAGATTGAAGAGAACAAAATATTAGAAGATCATAAGAACTTTGGGGAATTCACTTCCAAGTGTAAAAAATTTAATCCAATCACCAGGAGATTCTACATAGTTTGCTATCCTTAGTATGCTGATCATAAGGACTCCAACTTAAAGGAACACGTTGGGTATTGTTTGACTGCAGGCAGGATATGCAATCAACTGAAAATTTCCACTATTTTCTTTTACTAAATATTATTGAGAATTCCTACTTTAATAGTATGAGCAATAATACTGCAGGATATAGACTGAGTATGAATTCCAATTCTTCAATTGATTTATCACTATATATTATTTAGATACACAAATAATGCTTCAATCATGTGTAGTGAATTTGAACTATTGTGATATAATCTATATCCTACATGTGTCTCTTTATTTCGGTGCTTCAATTATGTGTAGTGAATTTGAATTTTATCTTTTGTTGCCCAGAATGCTCTCGAACCGAGAATCAGCAAGACGTTCAAGGAGGAGAAAGCAAGCACATTTGAGTGAGCTTGAAGTGCAGGTTTCTTCTGATTGTCAATTTTCTTGTATATTTATAAGTAAAAGTGTCAAGACTTGACATACTCTTGAATAGGTCTCCCAATTAAGAATTGAGAACTCATCTCTCTTAAAGCGGCTAACCGACATTAATCAGAAGTACAGTGATGCTGCAGTTGACAATAGGATATTGAAGGCAGATGTGGAGACATTAAGAGCTAAGGTACGCTGTTCACTGGTTCATGTGTGTTTATTCCAGATTCTGCATGACGAAATCTATACAGTTGTTCCTTGAAGAAAGATGGTGATTTGTGTTCAATATTTATGCCATTTCTATATGGTTTATAAGTATAAGAATAGATTTATTTCTTGGTTTTTAGCAGTATAATGCAAGTAGAAAATATGTATAGGTGCTAGAAGGCTCTGGTTAAGGGAACATTCTTTATTATAAAGCTATAAACAATCATGACACTCATGAATAGTTTTATCTAATGACAATAAGAGGTTTTATGAACTCAATTTTATGACTCAACATTCTTAGTTCCTTCTTGGTTGATATGCCATAGTAGTTGCATGCATTTTACACATTTTTTCCTGAGGTGCTTACATTTGATTTTTTTTTTTCTTCTTGAGTTTGGGATGTTTCAATTCCAGGGAATGGCCTAAAAGTCCACCTAGTGTCTCAACTTTCATCACCTTTGTTGTGGCTTGACTGTGTCCGTACTACTTTTAACCATTGCAATTAGTGCTTTAGTGGAAATTCATCAACAATTACTAGTATTCTAGAACCTTTCTTTAGCCTTAATGGCATTTTTCAAAGACCTCTCTTGTTGGAAATGGTTTATGCTTCTTCCATTGCATTAGAATGCAAGCAAGTAGCATGGTGTGACAAGTGCTATGACCTTGAAGTGTGCAACTAACTTAAATTTAGAATTTATAATATAGAAATGTCAATTAACTAATCATGGTGTGGCCAGCACTATGAGCCCAAAGCTGAGGTTACTAATTTGTTGCTTGGGTGACCATGATTCGTTTTGTGGGAACAACCTCTTTGCTTGTGTTAGGAAGTTTAATATTGAACCTCTCTGCTTGTGTTCGTAAGTTTAACGTTGACCTCCATCTCCTGTATTGGTTGAAGCCTCTTCATGCACTGGGCTGACCTAATATTGAAACAGTAAATGGTTTACCACACAACTTTCAAGCAGCACATAACAACTAATATGGAAAGTGGTAATGCTATGTAGTCAAAATATTATATATTCACTATTCAGATTATCTTCAACAGAAAGGTCAGTAATAAAACAGTGTCGTCTATCTATTTTCCAGACAAATATCGTTAATGAAATGAAAACTTGATGATGTTCACTGTCTAATGAAGCAAACAGACCCCTAAAACAAAGGCATCAGTCTGTTTTAGGGGTCTTCTAGGAGAAAAGATAAGTTTTTTTATTGGATTTCGACATATATGCCCTTTAAAATACTGGTTCTTTGAGTATACCTCTCAGAATTTGGGTCAACTTTCAAAAGAACCGGGTCTTGGTTAGGTTAATTCAGTATTAAACCATTGAAAATTTTTGGCCACAGCAAATGCTATGAACAAGTTGTTTTCTAATTAAAGTTTTGTTCACAATACATATTTCCGGGCAATGTCATAAGACATTATCTATCCGTAACATCTGATTCATCTTTTTGATGCTAGTTATTGGACCACTGGTTCCTCATGTAATTGGATAGTTATCGTAGAGCGCATATCATATTTCATTTCAAGTTTTCAACTAACTAGTGTTCGAAGCACATCTGTGGCTTCCAAAACATGCATCCATGAGTGTTTCGTTGTAACCATCATCAGTTTGGTGAGAAGATTATAGTCGGTTCTAAAGTTGTGCTAATAAGAGCTGTAGAATCATCGATATTTTTTCAAAATCTTCTATGTTTGAATCTAATATCTCTAGTGCTTAGGTGAAAATGGCTGAGGAGACAGTAAAGAGGGTAACTGGAGTGAGTCCTTTGTACCCAATCATCTCTGACATGTCAAATATCAGTTTATCCTTTGCTGGGAGCCCATCCGATGCAACCTCCGATGCTGCTGTTCCTGTCCATGATGACTCAAACCACTTCTACCATGTGTCCCCACATGAGCAGAGGGTAACCACCTGCCTTCCAGACATTGGGGTTGCTCCCGCAGTCGAGAATGCAGTCCGTGGTGCTGCGGCTGCAGGGAGGATCGCTGGACCCGCTTCCTTGCAGCGGATAGACAGCCTGGAGCATCTTGAAGAAAGAATGTTTGGAGGGCCAACCTCACCCCTGCAATGGGATACCGCTGCATGGGATCCCGACACCTCCCTCACCAACAACAAGAACTAAGTCAGTCTAATGGACATGTAAGACTATATTATATTTGATGTTGTAAGCACATTGTGCCTTGTGAAGAAGATTGATTTGCTTTTTATTTAGGACGCTATCATTGACAACCTCAACTGTGCTGTTTGTCCTGATGATTATTTACTTCGGATGGATCTGTAATAATCTATATATAATGCCTGTTCTATATACCTCCAGGCCTGTAATCTGCATTTAGGGGAAGATAGCATCTGAGCTATTAACTTGGTCAATGTTGGCATCATAGAGGTGAACAATGTAATGGGATCCTCCATGAATTAGAACCTTTCAATGTGTTTTGGATGGTCGCGATCGTTCGATAGCCTTCATCGAGATTTGTGATGAGGTAGGAACCATTGGATTGAGCGTTTCGAGATTTCAAGCAATAGAGAGTAACCCTACAGTTATATGATTTCTCCGTATGGAGGTGTACGGTTCGATCCCTTTACGCATCTCAAAGCATGATGTACACAAATCTCGAAGTGTAATTTTTTTACTTTAATTCATAAAAACATAGAAAAATAATTATTATAAAAGCCATCCGGGAGTTGACAGATCAGCAGCTGAAGTCAAAGTCAACGTCGTCGTGTCGTTTCCCAGACTCATCGGGCGAGGGTCCGGGAACGCCCCGCCATCCGACCGGAGGGCGGATTCTCTCCGACAGAGTTGGCCACCGCAAACTCCGATCCTCGTATATAAACCGTCGATATATCAGGTCCCACCTGTCCTTTCCTGTATCAGCCGTAGATGATCAACGGGGTTCCGATCGCAACCGGAGGGGATACCGATCGAACCAACCCCGGGGCCCACTCCACTGTCGAGGGTACTTTCGTAATACTACGTTCGCTACCCCGCACCCATTTATTCTGTTCTTACTGATTTATAGTGCATAGTTCTTGGTGGTTTGGATCCGTTCCCCGACCCCGTCCTAGCTGCCCGCCGGCCGATCCGCGGTTCCTCATCCTCGATCCCAAACACTTCTTCAAACCCTAACATCCGCTCCTGATTCGCAGGAAAAATCGATTCCTTTGGCCGGATTTCGTTGGAGTCTGATGGTATAAAGAGCATGGTAATGCTTCATCTTTTGCCTCCTCTTCAAGATTCGGCATACGTCGCTGTAATCTTATTATTTTTTTACCATGTCTTCTTAACTAGTTTGGTTGGACAGCTAGTTGGCTGACTGTTGTCTTATAGTTAGCAATCAGTCCAAGATATTCCTGCAATTTTTCTTTTGGTTGGGTCAGGTTTTGTCCATTTGGATGACCTTGCAAATCTTAGTTAGTTAGTTACATTACTTCGTCTTGATTGTGGAGTGAAAAATTGTTTTTCGGTGAATTTAGTTGTGATGGACGGTACATAAGGTTCATCAAAGCCCTAGCAAGTAATAAACAGAATCTCCGAGTTAGATGCTTAAAATTATTATGTTGAAACGCGAAATGGACAGAATGCTATGTATTTATTTATTCAGTTTTGAGGTTTTATTACATAGGTGATATTCAACCTTTGTGCAATACCATTCTCATAGGTCGTGATAGGTTGCTTGCCATTTTAACAGTGGGAAGATAGAAAATTCAGCAAAATTTGTCTTCTAAGGAATTGCTTATTAGTATCTTTCTCTATGGGCACAGATCTCGAAATTGCTGAAGACACGTTTTAGTTATGCACACCCTCATACAAGTTGTTAGATGGGATGTTGTAACCAATTGGTGAGGCATTGTAGAATACTGTGCTAACACTGGTGTGCCAGCAAAAAGACAGAATAAAAGACAAAAAAGGATTCAAGGAGTGAGATCACATTTAGTATTGAGGAGGTTCACACATCCAGTGAGATCACATTTTGCCACAAGGAAGCAAAGAAGAAAATGATCCAAGTCTTTGATGACTGTCTTAAAGGCAAGCAAGCTAGCTAGACACATTTTTATTACTTTCTTATTATATCAATCTTAACTCCTGAAGTGCTGAATTTAGTCAGCTCAATAGCTAGAACCTAGTGAAGGCTTCTTTTTTTAATGCTTGTTAAGTCAATGCAGCTATACGTAGGACTAAGTTTCTCTTCATAAGAATGCAGAAGATTGCTTTGGAATATATGCAAAAAATATTTGTTCATATGACATCACAATTAGACGCACAATGGTTGGAGAGTTGGAGGGCTAATATCTCATAAGAAGCCAAAGACCACTCTCCTCCCAAAGGTGCCTTTTTCAGTCCATCCGAAAAGATAAGATTATGTAGGACCCATCCCAAAGTTGACAATTTTTCATTGGTTGGAGTACTCGTACCCATGATGACTAGTGATGGATTTCATCAGCTGATGCCTACCTTAGGACATGAAGAGACTCTAACCCCCAGTTGGAGGCCTTGCTAAGGCCACATTCAGTCCAACAGTAGTAAAGGTTAAAGGCACTTTCTAGGGTTCACCCTGGAAGTGCAAAAACTTGCAGGGCCTACCTAGAATAGAAAATTTCTTACAGTTCAGAGTACTCACATTGGTGATGGCTAGTGATGGATCTTGTTAGCCTATAACACTGATTTATGATGCTGTGGATAAACTGCCCAAGACATGTATGCTTCATGTATGATAAGAGCCTCAAGTTGCAAGAAGAAATCAAGATGACCGAGTTTCATTTGTAGTCTAAAAGACATAAAACCATGAATTTTGGCCCTGTAGGGACAAATAACAAGACATTAACCAAAAACATTTTCTTTTATTAATTATGTGCATAGTTTATGTGTCAAGGTCCTTAATTAGTAAGATAACACAAAGATGAATAAATTAACATAAGAACAAGAATATCATTTGCAATCTATTACAGAGCATATTGGACTTGATTCGAGTCCCAACATGACTTAATGAAGCCAAGTTCAGCTGCTTTTAGAAGATGGGATTTAAGAGGACTTCTTGTTCCTCTTCTGTACTTAATCAGTTCGGATGTGAAAGGGCAACTACTGGCTTCATTTGGTAACAAATAAATATGGAAACTAGCTCAGAAAGAAAGACCAGCAGTCCTATTGTATTTAATGGTCAGATTGGACATTGATTTGACCTGATAGATAAGGAAAGGACACTTGGGTCAACACCTAGAATGAGGATAATTTGCCTTGACCTGATATTTGAAGTCCACATTGTCAGGAAGGCGTAATAGACATATGAAAATCAGCAGTTTCACTTCAATCATTCTCTGGTGGTCTTGGTGGGTAGGTGTTAATGTTCCTGAACCACAGAAATTAGATGTCGAAAACCGTCTTTACCTTCTGACGTGCATTGAAATTTCTTGATCCTTTGTTACATTCGGCAGGGTTTAATTTGTGGTTGGATAAGTGGGTGAGTAAATTGGTTATGATAATTTTGCTAAGGCCTAAACCTACACAAATTATCAGGTGACACTTAAACATGGTATATGGTTATCTGAGTTAGCAATAGATATTCTTCAATTGACTACCTTAATTACATCCAAAAGATCTCCATCCAGCCAAGAAAATTATTTATGTTTCAAGTATGAAAATATTTGAATAATTCTAGTGCTGTAATAACCAACATGCATGTTGAAATCATATGCTTACTCATCTTTCAAATTTTTATTAAATTATTTTCTTCTTAGATATTTTTAAATTTTGAAATATATAAAATGACATCCTAGTATGTGTCTCCATCTAAATGCTAAACTTTCTTTAATGGTTGGACATTGAACCCTAATGTTTCTTTAAGAATGTTGACCATTTCCGAGGAAGAAACCGAGGAACCACTGCTCCATACTTTGGGTAATAGATGCCAAGTTCCTATCATCTGACGACAATCCAGGATGTGGATAATTATTCACTATATGTTTTACCATTTGATTTGTGACTTTCTTAATATGCTCATAAAGAACAATCCAGAAAGACTCCTGATAACAGAAGGTTTTCTAGCTGGGAACTAGAACATTGAATCTAGTATATGTGTCATGTGAGGAACTAGAAGTTTGACAGTCAAATTCAAAGCACACTAGCTTCCTGAATAACTTTGACAAATGAAGTGACTAAATTATAATTGAAGTTACCCATGTTAATGCAAAAGATGTTAAAATGTTCAGGCCCTGTCATAAAGCAAAAGAAAATTGTATGTTTCATTCTTGCAAAATGTTGTAAGTTTGTAACAATGTGTACAGTCATAGCATCACAAGTATTATAAGTGCTTTAGTTTGGCTTCTTGATGCTCTGCCATTTTTCTTAACAAATGATGAATTCAAGTTTATTCTTTCACAATGTTTCCTCATTGCAACAATGACTTTTGCAGGAAAGGGAAGCAAAAAAGGAAGCTTTCAGGAAGTATCTGGAATCAAGCGGGGTGCTTGATGCTCTCACTAAAGGTTTTCCTTTGTCTTATTGGATTCTTTTGATTATTTTTTATTCAAGATATTTTGGTAAACTGTAATCAGTTGCCATGAGTAACCACCTTATCATTCCATGTAGTTCTTGTTGCACTGTATGAAGAAAATGACAAGCCTTCATCTGCCTTAGAGTAAGTTCTCTGACCGTTTTCCTTAAAAAAAGAAGAAAATTTGAATTGAAGAGCCAACCAAGTTTAGATTTTTTGGAAATTCTTTTTACATGACAAGTTTATTCAAAGCATTCTTTATGAACAGGATTGTTTTTTTACTTTCCTTGTGTAGCATGGGCGACATTAACCAGGGATCAACTACTTTAGGTTTCAACTTTTGCTCCTAAGATATTCATAAGCTCTTTCTTCGTGAATTAACTAACAATATAAAATTGCTGTCAGTTAATTTTGTCCATAGATGATTGCTTCAATGAACTTGAACTAGCAAAGTTTCTTCAGTTTCAGAAAGGAATTAGCATGTGGTGATAGCTTCTTATGACATTAACATCTTAGCAAATTAGCTGCTTTATTTCACTTTACTCTTTATTCTCAACCTCTTTCTGTGACAAGAATGACTCTGTTGCAAGGAATAACATAAGCGTGTGTTTTTCAAAGCATACAACAGAGCATGAAATGACTGCCTTTTGTCAGGTTCGTCCAACAAAAGTTGGGTGGCCCATCAATTTCTGAATATGAAAAGCTACAAGCTGAAAAGTCAGATTTGCAATTGAAATATGATGAGCTCTTAGCAGCTCACAGAGAAACATGCAGAGAGGTCAGTTTTTTTATTATTGTTTTCCTGTGTAGTTTCTGGAAACTCCTTAATTTAACTTTTGAACTAGTCTATGTGAGGAAGATTAACTGGCTTCCTTAATCAATTTGGCATTCATCTAGTTGCAGTTTATGATTTGTATGATATCTTAAATGCTAGACAAGTTAAGTACTGATGATTCAGTCATACTAGGAAGAAAATCTATGATGGCCTCTCAATTTTTTCAAAAGGGGAAAACAAATAGTGGATATTGCCAAATTGCAGGAAAGAATTGATGTATTGAAAATAAAATATTTAGAGTAGATGCTTTCTTTTTGTTGTTCTGGTTGCCTCTACTGCATAACTTAGTTCTAAAATATAATTAGGCAACCACGTGACTGGTTCAATTAGAGGGTTGGCTTGACATAGTGAGACCTATTTACTTATTCATGTCTCCTAACTCCAGTGTTGACATGAGTCCAACAAATCTTTAAGGTTTTTCTCGGAGTGGGCATGGCATGAGCAGTGAGACTTTCATATTTAAGGTCATATTTATAACTTGGGTAGTGATCTTTTTGCCATGTTAGTGTCTTGATAAATGACATTTCCATATAACAGACTTCAACATGCTAAGTTCTTTCGATTAAGTTGTCCCTTAAGAATCATGACATGGTAGGAGAATGCTGGTTCCACGTATCCACTTTTGCCTTTTTTTGATGAATGTTACTTTCTCGCTGCCACATCTCTGTCAAATATCCAAGCAAGTCTACACAATCTAAAACCAATGTTTGCGTATCTCAAAGCAATCAGTAAACATCTCATTCTTTCTTTTAGGGTCATTTTTCATGCATCTATTGTATGAAGGGATCTTATTGGCACATTCCTGGTAGTTGCTGCATTGGGAGGTATCGTATGTGCATAAACAAATCTTATTTGTGTTCTGACGAGATTAAACTTGGAAATCTCTCCATAGATTGTGACAGAAGTTCAAGAGTAGTAATCCAGAGATGTTTGCAATTTTACCTACAATGAGTTGAAGTACTGAATTATAAGTGGACCTTCTTGCCACTAGAGAAAATCCTTTTATCTCATAGACACTCGGGAAAATCATGACCTTGAGTTCCACGATCTATGATGTGGCTAGTTTTTGTGCGATTCTTTATGGTTTTTCTTTCAATATCCAAAGAAAAATGGTCTAATTATCATGTTAGAGTTACCATAAACATTAATAACTTGTATAGATATCCTAATTGGCTAATTATGTAGAGGTTAACTCGTGTATAAAATAACCCTTATATTTTTAAAAACGTAATATATAAGCTTCTCCCATCAAGTTTGAGTTAACAGACGTTAGAGTCTGCTTACGAGGCATATTAACTTACAATAAATTATTAATATAATGACACGTGTAATTTAAATATAAAAAAGGGTTAAGCTCTATTTTAACCATTGTGGTTTTGATCATGGACCTTTTAAGCTCGTATGGTTTACTCGTGTCTAAAATAATCTTTATATTTTAAAAAACGTAGCATGTAAGTCACTCTCGTCAGGTCTGAGTTAATAGACATTAGAGTCTGTTTACATAATATGCTGACTCACAATAAATTTATTAATATAATAACATATATAATTTAATTTTTTTTAAAAAAATTGGGACCTCCATCAATGGCTGGAGGAGGTGTCATCATGGAAGCGACCACCACCAGCACCATCGACCCACTACTACCTAGCAGGGCATCGTACCCACGCAGCCTCTCCTGTGCTGACGACGAGCTTAAGAGCTTTCAGTCCTGCCTAATGTAGATGTGCGTCGACCAGTCCAACACTAGGCATGCAATGGTCTCTTGGTCCCTCTTCCTCCTCTTGAGCGTCTTTGTTCCCATCGCCACCCACTTCGTCCTCTCCTTTGCCCCCACCTATCATGCCTACGATGTGGTGATCTAGCTCTCTCTCACCTCTGCCTTCGTCCGTCGCTTCATCTTCCTCGATAAGCTCGATGCAGCTACTGGTGGTCGCTTCCATGACAACGCCTCCTCCCGTCATTGATGGTGGTCTTAGTTTTTTATTTTTAAATCAAATTACACATATCAATATATTAATGGTTTATTGTGAGTCAGCATGTCACGTAAACAGACTTTAACGTCTATTAATTCAGACTTGACGGAAGGAATTTATATACTACGTTTTTTAAAATGTAGAGGTTATTTTAGACACTAGTAAACTATAAGAGTTTAAGATGTTCATAATCAAAACCATAGAAGCTAATGGACCTTAACCAAGAGATATTTTTACATAATTATTTTATACTTCTAATCTGCCCAAGGAAGCCAAGAAGTTGGTTTAATCTGCAACAATTTGTATAATATATGTATTTTCTTACGAGACAAAGACCTTAACAATTATTTTATACTTCTAAACGTGCTTTCATGTTTAGAAGAACATTCATAATGCAACTTTTATCATATGAACATTTGGAGACAGATCACTCCTTAAAGAACTAGTGAATCCTCATTTATCAGCTACAACAACCATAAAAGCTGAAATTTCCCAGTCATTAGGGGTTGGCTACATATAAACAGTGGGGTTAAAAAAAAAATTATAGGCTTTTTCAGATAGCAACCCATTCTTCGTTGACTGCCTTGACCTAAAATAGGGTTTAAGAGAAATGATATGTGGTATTTATGTTATTCATTGTGTGGACTATGATATTTCATTGTCATGTGATAATTTGCAGCTCGCGGATCTACGAAACTTGAAGTTGACAACATCGTCAAAGGAGAACACAGATGGAGATAAATTGAAAAATTGACTATGAACCTCCAGAGATGATTTATTTGTGAGTTTGAACAATAGATCACAGAAAAATAGAGAAACTGATTTCTTCGCAGAAGTACTGATATTGAATACTGTTCATCACTGATCTACCACGGATGGATTCTCAGATTCGATCTCTTCCCTGTTAATTGTTCTTTAATTTTAAAAGGAATGGAAATGGACACCTTTTATTTGCTAACTGGTTAATTTATCTGTCTTTATTTAGGATTCTTGCATATAGAACCTCCTGTCTCTCATGTCGATAAGAAATGTGGCCTTAAAGGTTACTACTACTGCTTATGATGTTCCAATAATTTAACTATTGTGTTATCAGTCTTTTTGGCCAATGGACCAAAAATTGGATTACCAATTGACTCAAATCAACAGGTAACTCTCCATACGCAATATTAAGTCCGCATTGAACAAATAGTATGCTTCATCATAAAGTATATTCCTAAAATCTGGTACACGAGAGAATGAAATGTACCTTATCGATCTATATTCACTTATGGAGTCACTTCAAAATCTGTAACAGCTTAACAATGAAGGAATAAAACCTGTGATAAAAGAGACGTTGGAAATTTTCATATATGATACACAGATTGAGATTGGGTTACAATTGCTCCCATGCTGACTCGGAGATTGAAAAGAATTGGGTGGGTTTGTATACATGTACATATTTATTTGTGTTTAATAACTCTTTTAACACTAAAAGTGCCAGACAATGTGTTACTACTACATGGAAAACCAATAAACAAGCAGCTTTGCCAAAGTGTCAATTTTGCTATAGGGTTAAAACATCAAAAAGGACCATTCCAGGAAGAGGAAGGCTCGCAGTGCATGCGGATCATATATTGATTGTCAACCACAATTTGATTATAAGAGATTTTGGTTCAGTGACCGCCATCCAAATAGTGTTCTTCTCTTACAGACTGAATGTAGGTGTTAGAAAAAACCTGATCAGTTCAAAGAGATGTGATGCCTAATCTTGATCGAGTCAGTTCATATCCATAATCCCTATATGCGGCAAAAGAGAGCTCAACGGGTACATCCATCAATCACCCACATGGGCAAAATATAGACATCTGCAACTACTATTCAAAGTGAACAATGTGTAGAGATCAAACTGAATAATTATAACACAAGCTGCACAAGTGACAATGAGAGTAGGTCCTCAGAAACCAAACCCTGCATTCAGAAGCAGCTTGGGTGATTGAAAGCAAATCCCAACTATAAAATTGTTGTTCAGCAACTGCAAAGTTCTAATGGTTAGGTATCAGGAACAAGATTCAAAAATGGATCCATCCCATCAATCCTCCAGCAAATAGGATTAGTCTTGCTCATCATCCTGTCTCAAATTGCATCCCAGGCTCACAAATAACCATACAGAAGCACCTAACAAGAACAGGCTGCTGTTAGCAACTAAAAATCCACCAGATAAAAGCATATTAGGTTGTGCAGATAATGCACAATGGATCACAGAGCTAAAATTTTCAAGATGAATTCTGTAGGGTCCACAGCAAATGGCCAGACTTGATCTTTACACAGTTAACATCACTGCTATGTTCCACAAGCAACCCTAAAATATGCATAAAGTCTTAAACCGTGAACATCAATAGCCAGCATCATAGGATGATGGGCGCCCACCCCTAGTTGGTCGATCATAAGGCCCAGGCCTGTCCCTGAAACTTCCACTGCCATCATAACGTGCAGGCCCACCAGCCCCATATCTTCCGCTGCCGCCACCACCACGTGGTCCATCCCTCTCATAGCCACTGACACCTCTTGGCCCTCCATCTCTACTATAGCCACCACCACCACCACCACCACGAGGACCATCCCTATCATAGCTTCTCTCCCTGCTGTATCCATTCTGTGGGTAACGGTCAGGATGCTCTCCATACCTATCACCAGAAAAGCGATCCCTAGGAGGCCCATATCGATCATGATCAGAGTCATTGTCAAATCGATCACGACCACCACTATAACGACTGTCCCTGCTGTCAATACGATCTCGGTTCCCATAACGGCCTCCATCATAACGGTCATTGAAGCGATCTGGTCCCCCAATACGATCCCCACGGCCACGACCACCACCAAACTTGGGGCGAGAAGAGAAACGACCATCACTGCCTCCCCCAGCCAAAGGACAATCACGTGCCCAGTGTCCAAGTCGACCACACTTGAAGCACTCATCAGACCGCCCTGCAGGTGGTGGCCCATCGCCACCACGGTAATCACCTCTACCTCCCGATGTGTATCTCCCACCATTATATCCATAGGCAGAGTCATCTGTGGTCATCTTAGGCTGAGCCTTATTCACTGAAATGACACGTCCATCCAGCTCACGCTCATGCATCTCACTGATAGCATCCTCCACTGCATGTGGATCAGAGAATGTAACGAATCCAAATCCACGAGGACGGCCAGTATCTCTCTCCAGCATGATCTGCACACAGAAAGACTGCTAAGAACCAACAGCAATTATAATGAAGCAGCAGCTTCGACTGCTCTTATCTACAACATACTGCACCAGTCTCATCAGGCAAACAAGTCACAATAATGACATATAACATGAAACTGGAATTACACAAAGTAAATCTTAGTGGGGATATGTTTTTTCTTCTTTCAACAGTAAAAAAAAAATTACATAATGGTTTATGACAAATATAGAAAAAATGTTAAGTGGAAACCTAATGACTGAAGAACCATGTTGTACTGCATAAATACCTACAGAATTAGAGAGTTGAACCAACAGATAATCTTTGTTTGAATAGAAATAATATCCAATGCTATTTGAATCCATAAAGGTCCTTTTAAGACCAAAAAGTGACAATTGACAAGAATGCTACAAAAAAATGTTACAATAGTGCTTTCTACAGACCATATCACAGCATAAAAAATGAATCTGACGTTAGAAATGATAAGATTTATCAAAAATATAGAGAGGGGAAAAACTAAACAAATCTAATTTACCTCTTAAGGAAAATTGCAATACTCACCAACATCATTATACTTCAATTCCCAATCCAAAAAAGTTGACGAGAGAAATTTAGATGTCAAAAAATATTCTTTCAATGTTTCATATACATCTTTCTGTCTTATCATACATACTTCCATTATTAGTTTTCTTAAATATTTTGTACATAAACCTTTGTAATAGACTTCATACATAAAAACTTTTATCATTACCTAGTGTGCCTTTATGTACATCATATGTAGAAATATTATGTTATGTTTCATAATTTACACTGGTAAAAAGTTGTGATATCCTACTTGGTTCACGAAACAAATATGTAAAGGGAATTGGCTATTCCATCCTTAATTTCAAGGCTGATGGCAAAACTAAATGCCACAACTTTCAGCAACTTTTCCTAACTTCTTCAAGAAATAAGCAAACAACAATTGCACTTTGTCAACATAGATTTTAGATGTTTGAAAAATACAATCAGAAACTTATTCAAACTAGAAAAGAACCTTAGGCAGTTTAAAAGACCAATGTAGATGTACCCAAATTCAAAGTACAACAGACTCAGAAGCTGCAAGAGACATCAAGACTATTCATGACACAAACAATTAAAAAGGAGACACTAATGAAGGAAGTGAATAATCATTTTATAACAGCAATACGGGGATCTCATTTTCATCTCACATGAAAAAAGATCATGACATAAAACCCATAATTTGAATGTAGCAGAAGCATCTTAACAATTAATTAAGCAATGGTGACACAAAGGTTCATACAAAAGCAAGTTCAGTAATGATGTTTGGAGTGGAACAACCCACCCTCTAACTTGTTCAGACAGTGCTACTAAGTCACTGACAAAAAGAAGATGCTATTCAAAATGATGATATTAAGAAGCTATCATCACCAGGTAAAGATTTTTTTTTCTTTCATTTCAAAAAAATAAGGAGTTAAATATGAATCATTAGAGGCAGAAGGTCCTACTCTTAAACAGAAACAATCAGAAGATTAAAAGAATTATATTACCACGAAGAATATAAGATATAGATATGTATGACAAGCAGACACAGACGAACATAATGCAGAAAGCAAATTGTAAGTTCTCTTTTAACTATTTGTAGAAGATGAATGTAAGTTCCCATCCCCATGAAGTATACCCACCCAGAAAAACCAAGATAATGTTTGTAGACACGAAAATCTATATCCTAGAGCATAAATTGTGCTTTATAGCAATTGTAGATATAAGCTGTGGCATCAACAAATTAGACTTACCAAAGAAAAAGAAACATGATTACATCCAAATTTATATTCTATGATGGTACTCTTACCTGATAGCAACAGAATGTACGATGATGTAAACACCATGTTACTCATCCAGACATCTCACTGTGATCTTTGTATTATGAGTCACAATCTACCATGACCAAAGTAATCCATACTGGTAAATTTTCATACATCGGACATGCAAAATATTCAGCAAATAGTAAAATCTTCATCTTACATCCTAAAGAAAACCGTGTTACCAGTGAAATGCAACCAAACAATAACAGATGAAACAAAACGGTTTCTTTCACGTGATCATTGGCAAATTTGATGTTGCAAATACATCAATCAACTCACTCAGATGACACGCTATTGTATGGTAAGTTAACACTTCATCAAATCATAAATTCTTTTGACACCTTTCAAATCTTGCAACACATCAATCAATTCACTCAGATGGCACACTACCGATATGGTAAGTTAACACTTCACCAAATCAGAAAGTGAAATTCTTTAAACACCTTTCCATTCCTTAACATGAGATCTTCCCAAACAGTGAAAGGAACAAACTCAGAAACAACTGCCTGAACAAACTGGCTCAAATATCTCAATTGATAAATCTTCCAACTGGCCTATATTAGCATGACATCTCGTGGTTAAAAAACCACTGCTGCTAACAGAAAACAACTGCAGCAACCCACAAAGCACTTTGTAAAGAATCAATCAAATGCATTAAGAGTTAAACAGCTCTGAAGATACATTCAGATCTCTCAATTGATCAAAGAAGAAGCCAGAGAAAAGGTAACTTTGGCATTACGAAGGACCAGCTTCAGAGAAACTTTTACAATCAGAGGGCACCAGAACTTGTCCGAACTCTGAACTAGTGATGTACAATGTAAAAATAATGCTGATATCACATCCATGAATTAAGCATTTGGTTTCCTCCACCAGTCACTATTGGCCCACAAGAATAGATAAACTGCTGATTAAACCATTCACTCATCTAATACATATATTCTGACAGAAGGTGTATGGAAAAGGAAGAAAGCTGAAACAAATTAATCGCATCTGTGTATTAGAAGACACCACATAACCAGCTATAAGCCAATTATGCAAGGAACAAAGGATCCAAGAGATAAAAAGAATCCAACGTAAGATGCACAAGACAATGAGAAAAGAAGCTTAAGCATGACTCAGACAAGCAGCAGTTTTTTCTGTTTGAGAAGTATCCTATAAGTCTAGAGCTTGAAATGGTTAGGGCACAAATCCAGAGGCCAATAACAGAATCCATCTGACAAATTGTACAACTCAACATCTGTTCCATTTGCTTCTTTTTCTCTTATAACAATGCCCCATTTCACCATAGACCAAAAATCACATAAAAAATACAGCAAAAGAAGATCACCATTCAATTTCCAAAACTAGTGAAATTTCACATGGACCTATTAGTTTCATGATCTAAAATGGTCACCAAGAAGGTAGAGTTCTCTATTTGCCAACTTGTGTCTGAAGCATCTGAGGCAAGTAGGTCAATCTCCCCCCTGGCAGTTTTTTTAAAAGCTTAGAATGCAAAACAGCTTTAGAAGGTCAATATTAGGTCATATTTGGTGGCAAACCTTTTGCAGAGGCTTCTTAGTTTTAAGTTGTGCTGCCGATATTCATGAGGAAAGTATTGAACAACAAGATCATTAAAAAGAAAAAACATCAGCAAATGGTGCAAATACAGATGCAATCTCTGTGCTTGTCTACATGCCAAGTCTGCATCCCTCTCTAAATAATAAAGCTCAGAAACCCTGGTGCACATTGCACAGATGGACGTATGAGAAATTTTAAAGCCATCATCCAATCCTGCCAATATCTCACTCTCAAATTAAGCAAGTAACAGGCATCACGAAATTTCGTCTAGAAAATACTTGCACTGAATTGCTCAGAAGAAATATCAGAGACCAACAGATTTCTGACAAGGTACTGAGGCCAGTCATATCAAGAAAGAATCGAGCATGAACCTGAATCTTGGCAGAATGCATTCTTTTCTCCCTCCTGATGTATAACACTGGTTGCCAATAAGTAATCCAAGACAACTAGTCAAATTCATCCACTCTACACTTTTAATTCAAAGTTATCAATTAAGCAACTTACTGAACTAAACAGGTCTGGCACTAGAACTAGAAGCTTCTTTTGGTAATCTGTTACACAGTGCAATGAACACTAAATTACGTGCCTATTCTCGGCATTTTCCTAACATGCTGCACAATGTTATACTCAAACACAAATATAGCTGAGACCCAAACAATCCAGCGAATGACAATCCAGCAAACAGTTTATTACATATACTCCTCTTCATTCAGTATTCTGGCCAACAAGGAAGCACCTCATTAAACGAGAAGCCTACATGATCACTAAGAGCAGTCAAAGCAATTTCTCTTATAAAAGGTTTCATAAAAGGGGCAAACTATCAAATATGACATTGATGAAGAATATCTATCAATGCCACAAGACAAACAATCCAACCCAAGGTATCTCTTCCAGGCTACTGAGGATTGACTCTTCTATATAAGAATTTCAAGCCTCAAAGAAGCAACTAATCACTGAGATGTAACCTCAACCAGCAACAAGTCATAAATGCATGAGGTGTCCCTTGTTAGTTAAAATGATGAACGCAAAATAACAGCATCAAACAGCAGTCTCCTCCAAAGGGACTAGACCTGGCAAGTGTCTATGGCTGCCCAGATAAAAAGAACAAACAACCTTTGTTTCATGCTGCCCAGATCTGTCACATAGATATTGAACAAGTATTGATAGCCACACAGAGCTGAGCAACCAATGGCATCTCACCATGCCCATATACATTGTCAGCCGGAAGCACACAAGGAAAAAAAAACCAGGGAGTCAATGACGATAACAAAAATAAGGATACAATAAACTAGCATAAAATATAGAAATGCACATGAAAAGATGCAACAAAGATGCTATTTTCACAGGAAGGAATGCAAACTGCCAGGACCTGCTCAATCTAACTGGTATTTACCAGTCTAGGCATGAACCGTCCCCAAATTTCCTAAAGACTCTGAGTTAGGGCAATCCAGTCCCGCCTGCGCTTAAGGGGGATCGCGTCTCCCACTCATGTCTGAACGATTCACTAATCTTAAAACACTTGCTTCTATTATTTTCGCTAAAAAGATGAATACAACAAAATTTGTAATGTCAAATCAAATATTTCTCTAAACACCTTTAGCTTCCATCCAAGTTTCACAACATCAGATGTATCATAAGGAAAGCCTAAATCAATTGCCAAAAATATTGAAGGATGAGGGAGAGATCTATACTTGGGCCTCGATAACCTTCCCGAAGCGGCTGAACTCTGCCTCCAACCGCCGCTCTGTGGTGTCCCACGACAAGCCTCCCACAAAAATCCGGTTCTCTTCCTTCGCCGACATCTCCACTAGAAAACTTACCTCCAAAGATTCTACATAAAAGAACAACAAAACCCAAAAAAAGAGATTGATCAAAAAGAACCCTGGAAATCAGTCGGAAACACAAAGATCCAAACCAAATAGGTCGATCCCCCTCTGGAATCCACCGAAAACCGAAGAAGCCGACACCCTACCGAAAAGAGGAGCGACCGCGGCAGAAACCCTAAGGGGCCGATTTGAGACCCTGAGAAAAGGTGTCGAGTAGATCAAAGGCAGTTGCGATAGGATGCCTCGCGGTATGTGTTTAATCTTAAGATGTTTCACAAATCTGACGGTTTATGATTCGGCTTCGGGTCCTGATCATGTTCGGATTTAACCACTTAGATTTGCTCCACGTTGACTCGATCTAAATCCATTCTCACTGTTGACTATTTTTGCTAATTTTTATGTATTTTTTGCTTAATTTTCAATAATTAAAATATCGATCATCTATATCGCCTGCAAACATTTTTTTAAATTCAATCTTAAACTTCAAAATATATTTGAAGATCAATTGTCAATCCTATGCTATTTACCATAAAACCAATACCATAAAAATGTAAACAACAACAAGAATGTTAATTATACCTTTCTTATTTGATGTATAAAGGTGGGTTTATTCCCTCGCTTTTGGAAGTAAAAATAACATTCCATCGGTCTTTGTTTTCGCCAACAAAGCATCATTTTCTCTCTCTACGGAGTTGAATAAAGTGTCATCTTTGATTCTGTATACTTTGTTCTCTGCTGGTTGAACTTCTTCGAATGGCTGCCTGGACGAAGAGCTGGGGATTTCTTGGAGGAAGGAGAAGGCATCCAAAACCAAAGGAAAAGAGAAAGAGAAAGCGGACGGCGGGTAGCCTACTCGAGAAAGCTGCCGTCTCACTACCAACTCCTCTATATAATGCTACCGATCTCGACGTTCAGAATCCACCCTAGCAGCTGAGTCTTCTTCCTCTTCTTCTTCCTCTATCGATGGCCATGGCTGCGGCGTCCTCCCTTGTTCTCGCTGGTCCTCCTTCGCTCCTTTCCGGCCAAGCTCTGAGGCCCACGCAACGCCATCCCTCGACGGTGGCGCTTCCGTCGCCGTCTTGCCGTCGCCGGCTTCGGATATCGGCTGAGGCGGCGCCGCAGGGCACTGGCGAAGGCACTGAGAAGACCGACGCCATCAACGTCCGCTTCGAAAAGGATGGTAATAAGCAGCACGAAGCCAGCGCCATCGACCGGCAGCCTCGGCGGTGGGCCTTCGACGTCTCACCCCTCGGTAAGCGTCCGTACGATGACCACTTCTTATACTGACGTTGCATGAGTGTTTGTGTCTCTTTAACGACTGTAGGTGATAGTATCAAGCATGAGTTCGCTTGATCTAATCTCTCACAGACATGAAGGGATATTAAATGAACAATTTTTCCTTGGATTAGACGAGAGATGACATGAATTCAAGGAGAAACTTCTCCGCTTAAACCACTAAAAGAACAGCCAAAATTATGGTTTATGTCACGCGTTTCTCATGCATTGCAACACACTGTCAGCTCGTGATATGTTTGAACATGTGTTTTGGAGCGCCAATAGCTTTGGTAGATACGATGTCGCCCATGTGGACGATGAAGAGGATGCTGGAGACGATGGAACGGCTCTTCCAGGAATCCATGTCATTGCCGGGGAGCAGCGTGGTGGAGATGAGGCGTCCATTGGAGATAAAGGAGACCGATGACGAGATCAGGCTGAGGTTCGACATGCCGGGGCTGTCCAAGGACGACGTGAAGGTGTCGGTGGAGGGGGACATGCTGCTGATCAAGGGGGAGAACAAGGTCAAGGAGGAGGTCGCCGCCGGCGGGGAGGGCGCCGGGTGGAGCTCCGCCTCCTACCACATGCGCTTCATGCTCCCCGACAACTGCGACAAGCAGGCGGTGACGGCGGAGCTCAAGAACGGGGTTCTGCTTGTGGTCGTCCCGAAGACGAAGACGGATCGCAAGGTCTTGAATGTTGAGATCCTGTGATGCCAGTAGCTCTTTCTTCTCGGATGTGTGTGTGCTTGTTTGGACTTCGCTTATGGTTGTTTATGTCTGCCATGTTTCAGTTTTTGTGTGTGTTTCTGCTCTGCAATAATCAGAATAACATTTTATATTAAGTTTATGACTGCCATTCTTTTCTATGTTTTCTTGTGATCCTCTAAAGCTGAACTGATGATAGCATCAAAATCTTTGCTATTGAAACAAATACAAATTTAAGTTGGAATAAGTCTTCATATTAAACAAACCTCTCATCTGCATATCCAAAACTAAGCTACATATAAAAATGAAGGGGGAAAGGCCTCCCAATTACTACAGAAATAATACAATTCTATTTAGGAAGTTGAATCTCTAAACCTTAAACAACTCCCACACAACCATGTCATAGGCCTTATCTAACAAAGATTCCATGTATCTATATTGTGCTTCCTTGCGCATCTGAACATGATTCTCAACCTGCTTTCAAGAGAGAGGAAATTTTAGGCACATCACAGTAAGATGGATAAAGCAGTCAATTTTTGCATGGTTAAGATGAGGATTCTGCAATTACTATGTTAGGAATGTTCATGTAGTATTATTATCTCTCA